CTGACAGCATCATTAAGAAGTTGAACAAATTCATATAACCCACTTGTCATGCGTATTTTTGAGGGAAGCCTATTCCATATAACTGCATACTTAGAGTGGAAGAAGCTTTCTCGATTTTTGGATCTATACTTCTCAAGTTTGACCGTAGATACTTCATCTCGAAGGTTATGTGTACAAGGGCCATGGATAAAGATTAAACTGCAGGAAGAATATGTGAGCTTATGCAGGAGTTTAAAGTAAAGGATCAGATTGAACTTAAGCCTTCTTTTCCATAATGGATCAAGCCCGAGTTCAATACATCGGGTTGGATAGTCAATGGGTGAGCTATGATTTAGGACTTTACGAGTAAATTTCCTTTGTATTCCTTCAAGCTTCAACATATCAGACAGGCGCAGGTTAGAAAATAAGAAAGAGCAGTATTCAGCAGTAGGTCTTACGCATGTTTTATAGAGAATTGTTCTGGATTCTCTATGAAGGAAGTTACGAAAGATGAAACCAGGCATTCTTCACATTCGGGAAACTTTATTGGAAATATGTTTGGAGAAGTTAAGGTTGTGCGGATAATGCACTCCAAGATCAGTTACGGATGTGAGTTTGGGCAATACATTGCTGTTGAGAATGAGATCTAATTTGGGAGACCTGTCTCCGAAACACATCCAGCCACACTTCTAAGTATTAAGTTCAAGGTTCCATTGCTTACACCAGACATCTATAGTATTGAGTTCGTGCTGGATTGTGTGCACCAAGTTTCCTAAGTCACATTTGCTAGTTCGATAAATCACTTTTAGGTCATCCGCATAGAGGTAGGTTTTACCAGTGTTGAAACAACTGCATATGCTGTTGATGTAGATTATGAGAAGCAGTGGACCCAAAACACTGCCCTGCACAACACCACTGGTAATTGGTCGAGGTGTAGATGTATGTGAGTTGATTTTGGTAATCTGATATCTATCTGTGAGGAACGACCTAATCCATTGCAACAGGTGGCCACTAATACCGACGGACTTAAGTCTGTTGATTAAGAGATCGGGAATTAATTAGCATTAGTGTAACATAGGATGAATACTCATCTTTCAGGGATACACGATGGGCATCTGGAGGGTTGTATGTTGTGTGTTCTGAAGAAGGGCTAGAAGTAGGAATATGGGCTTGATTGTTATGGTCAGTTAATTTGTGAGCGGTATAGTTAGAGGGAGAAAGGTATTAAGGGACAGGCATGGTGAGAGAAACATGTGAGGTAGGATATGATAAGTGTTGTTCGTTAAAGTTAACTGATGACCCCCCAAAAACAGATGAGGAAGTCGCTAGGGTGCATAAGGGTTGATTGTTACGTAAGTCCATTGGATTAGGTGTAGTGGGTGTTACGTCCAGTTTTTTGCTCGTTGATCTTACGAAGCACGGTTGTCGTCTATTTGTAATTCACGGTCCCAAATTTCTATACCAAGAACGAAACTCCAAAGTAGATACCAAAGTTTATTCCAAATCACAAATTCGACCAAAATACTTTATTACAAATAGACGACCAATGTCGTTCTAACAACAATAATTATAATAATTACAATTACCTTCTAATTTATTATCTCTTGGAGCAAAAAACTGCAACGAACAACAAAGAGAAACGGGAGTCCAATATGTCCGCAAATAATAATAATTCAAACAAGTTCATAAGTTAAGTAAAACAAATATACCCAAAAAACAGTGAAATTAATGATATTTATACATGAAGGTTTTGATCAGCAAAATGTCTTCGTTTCTCCCGTAACAGTGGGGTAAGTCAAATCTTTGGACAATGTGAAAGGTGGTTTGTCAAAAGGACTATACTCTTGTTTGAGGCATTAACTGTTGTTATATCATTTCTCATTTATGAACTATAGTTAATTGACTGCTATGTGTTACCCCAGTTCACACTCACTATTACTGTTATTTTGTATTGATATCAGTTTTCTAGTTGGTTTACGATGCAGTCTGATTTTGCATGTATATAAAGGCATGATTGAAATGATAAAAAAACGATCTGATCTGATCTGTCTGTCTGACTCATAAGTCGTTGTTTTTCCTCTATTCCGTGGGGCTGGTAATTGAGAGACTGACGTGTCTGTACAGTGATTGGCGATCATCAAGGTCATTGTATATATTGCACAAACACAAAATCTATGTAGTTACTGACCATTAATGAAATGACAGTACTAAATTCAAGAAGAATGGGACAGGAAAATTTAGTCTGAATTTTACGAAGCCTGCGTGCTACACCTCAAGTGCGGGACAATGCACACTCTTTTGGAGAGTGTTTTTAACAGAATTTAGGATAGCACTGCCAGTTACGTTATAAACAATGGCATTCTGCATGCACTGAAGTCTTTCTAACACTTCAGAGTATATATGGTCAATTACCATTTCGGTTTTTTTAATGATTTCGAAATCAGGATTTTCTAGAACACTGACCAGGTATTTGTAATGTAGCAAATCCTGAATGGTTCGGTTGATATCGAATGCACTTAAGGTGTCCTTAGAACTGATAGTGGCGAATCTATTGCAGTTCAGTTCGCAGCTGTTAAGGTGAATAGGATAATGAACAGACTTGCTTCAAGTGTTTTGCGGTTGATCAGTCTGCGTAAAGTCATCCGGAGTAATGAACATATCAGAGAGTGAACAGTCCAGATCAACAGTACTGGATTTCCTATGGCAAAAAGGCCTAGGGACATTTTTCGGATTGCTATGAACTTGACCCGCTTGCGGGCTCGTCAAGTGTTTAAGACCAGCCACACTTTCTAACAAGTGCTCACAGGAATCTATTTCAGATGAAACACAAGAGGTAGCGGGTGGTGTCGAGTCACTCGGAAGGAGGTGAGTTGTATTTATATCAACGAGCGGGATACAAGGTAAAGAGATGTTGTTTTCAAGTTCACGGTAAGATTCTATTAAGCCAGTGGGTAGATCAGAATAAGATACGGATGGAACACTGTTCTTACGATTGATTTTATCGAATTTAATAGCAGATTTGGATCTTTTACAGGTGTTTAATTCGACAGGTGAAATCAAGTGTTTTTTTGACAAACGTGACATGTTTGTGGAATTATTTGTAAGCAGAGTTCAGCTACCATAAGCACAATGTCTGTTTGGAATAATGAAGCCAAAAGCTACAGCAAAAATTACTAAAATAAGAATAACCGATGAGTGGTTGTAAGAGATGAGTTTATATGTCCTGTTGAACTAGAGTAAAATGACCGGAAAACGAAAAAGATAATACACGTGAAAAAGGGTAAAACCTTCAAAGTACGCGCCACTAGTCGTATTTATTTACAATTATCACCTTATGTCTATTTGAACTTTTATTTAATTGACCTTTTATTCATCTTCATATAAAATGCCTTGATAAGTAAATATGTGTGACCAGATTGTTCGAAATGTATAGCGCAAATGCATCACATTTTTCAGATCAATTACGTCTTCTCGCTATTCTATCGAAATTTATAAATGGGACTAATTGTTTTGAACCTTTGTTTATAAATAAAATTAGCAAAAATCCTGAAAAAACAGTCGAGTTCAGTGAACTTGTTTATATAAGTTTTTTTTAGTTGCTTTTCTTGCTTTAGCTATCATTATGAAAAGAATCCTATAACCGATTAAGAAAGTAATGAAATGAACTTGTTTAATTTGTATTATCGTTGAAGTATTATTAAGAATAGGTACCATTCTCGAATGATATTTAGGAAATCAACATTAACAATTGGTATTACTATTATTTACTGGTGAAGTCGATTATTTAATTTTGTACTATGCAAATTAAAACACAGAATCACAAAAGTTTAATAATATTATTCTTCCGGATACTGGAAAACTAGCAGAATTCAGGATAGCCCTCAAAAATATGTTCCAGAATTTTCACGATCTACTCAATGGAGAGGAAATTACCATGGAGAACAACTGGAAAGAGATAAAGGACCAAGAAACTTTCAACATGTCAGGAGATTCTACACCAAAAGAAGCACCAACACATCAGGCACAAGGCAAATACACAGAAGATCTGAAGAGCATTTGAGCTGACAGACAAAAATATTAGTACGGACCAAATCGCGACTGTAGGGATTATTGTTGAATAATCATTAGAATGAACTCATCCCTGTACGTAAACTACTTTGACTTTGAGGAAACATTTTACAGGATGGGAGATTATTGAAACGTCTTTCACTTTATGTCAGTCAGTCAATCAGCTACAACGTGGAACTTCGTACGTACGTACATCAGTTCATGTTGCCGTACCACGTTAGCCCAGAGACACGATTGCCAAATCAAATCCCATAGTGATAGAGTTAGTAGGAGTACGAGCAGTATTTGGGAATATTAGGGTTTCCGATGTATGGAGCACCTCAGAAGATGGTCAACATCGTATTATAACTCCCAGCTGAATAGAAAAAACTACGCTTTTCCAACCACTGAAGCACAATTCAGCCTGTTATCAGCCATTGTCATAACTATCAATACTGTGTAAGCTAATGGAAGATCTGGTGAATAAGCGAACGAGGAAGGAGATAGATAAGAACAAAATCCTGCTTGAAGCTCGATACGCGTTGCAGAAAAGCAGATCATCCGCATCCATTCTTCTCATGGAATTTAACATGGAAATCTTTACTGCCAACTAATTGACGTATTTATGCATTTATTTACTTAGTCCTAAAATCTTTTTATTAGATTAAGATTTTGCTCATTATTCTCCACATCACAACTACATGATCCAAGGTATGGTAACGCGACAGCTGATGCTTTGCCAAAAAACCTACAGCTCTGGAAGAAACATACTCATTCGAATCACGGGACATACGAATTCGCGAACAATTAGCAAGTGACTGGAATTTGTGCAATCAAGTGACTAGACTACCATCCGTTGAACATTACCGAATACCAGGAACCGTATCAAAAGAACAAGAATAGATCGAAAGGTAATCAATTGTTTTATACTAGTTCATGAAAAACTATTGGATATTGGTTTTATTCCAATATACTTTGAAGACATCCTCTTGAAGGTCGTTTGACGGGGGAGTTTTGAACTGTGTCGCTGCAACGCATTCTTAGCGTTACTCTAAAAACTTATATTTTTATCATCGTTTTGTCTTGATCTCGTGCTGTCTTTATTTCCGGTTGCTGTCTACTGCTTGTTCTGTCGGCTGTAAGTCCATTATATGTGCTTTCTGAATCGGCCCTACGTTTTTTCCTGTTCCTTCCTCTTCCAGATACCATCACAATATTACTTACACACCTCCAGCTCACCATGTAGACTCTGGCTAAAATCAAACTAACCAAGATCCGTAGTTACACCTAATCTTGTACCACAGTACCCTCCCAAATAGAATTCTTCTGGTTAGTCCCGTAGACTCCTCGTACAAATCACATATTCATTTCCATTACATCTAACTTTAAACTAATAGTTAGTATTTTAATTCATCGATTTAAGTTTGAGAATTAATTATAACCCATCTACATTAGTTATGGTGTTCAGATGTGTTTAGGATTAAAGGATTATGGTCTGTGTCACTTCTTGTCTTTCGTACTCCCAAGTTTTCATTCTTATCTTTACCGAGTAAGTAGAAGGGGCTGACTCCAAGTCTTAAGTTAACTGGTCCAAAGACATGTTGATTCAGAGTGTAAACGTGTAAATTTTTCAGTTTTAAGTCAAAGTTGATCGCCTTTATGTCAGCGCATCGACTTGACAGATTGTATCGGCAATGAACCTAAATAAGATAAACTCATTGGTCTCTCCTCCCCATAGGTGGGTGGAATTTTATGTAAGTGACGTTGCCGTGCGTGAAGACTAAGTCTAAGACATAATTTTTGTGGATAAAATATGATGAGACGTATAATGCGCTGGAACAAATCTAGCGCTATTGTGGCTTCTAACAGTGTCCAGTCAAACAATGCTTTTCATTACATTAGTGCTGGGTTTCACTAGTTAGTAGAAGGTGAATCAAAGTCACCTACTACAAAGCGTTAACACTCTTTCGACTATATGCCTAACCACCGTCTGCCCCGTCGTCCTATGTTTTGTGAGATAGGAATAGCTTGGATGAAAACTAGGGGCGGCCAGACCAAATTATGGCTCAAATCCATGAAGTCACTGACAAGTTGACTGAGTAATGTTGGTAGATGTAGGCTATCTGGTTGGGGTCCGTAAGATGATAATAATCGATGGTTAGAGAGTGACGTGGCTCAAAACCGTTTGCAATGGTGCGGGTGCATTTACTCATTGTGTTCTATGAAATTCTAAGCTTCTGAATTCCCCATCACCTGTATCTTTCTCTCTCTAAATTTACCTCATTAAATTATACTTCTTCTAATCGTATCCTCTCCGATTAATTCCAATACTTTTACTACCTCTACTACTATGGGATTTAAATTGACAGTTATATCTCTGTGCTAATGTGGTATGACATCTTGAACTGCTGTACTTACGTGCAAAGTTCTACGTTGCTGTTGATGATGATGATTTAAGAAGTCCGAACCGCAACAATGGTTTAGGTCGTTGCTAAGAGTTCGGATCGTAAAAATGACTGTGACAAAGCTAAAAACCAAGTCAACAAGCTAGTAAAGGGAAGTTCATAGTAAAGTTAATTTTATTATACAACATGAATAACTTTTTGTGCTTCTTCGCTGTAAGTGTTCCTCGTTTCCATCCGCTCTTTTACCACTTTTGACATATAACCAATCATATTTTAACAGTGCAAAACTTAAAGTCGCCATCAGTCAGTCAGTCAGTTGCAACGTAAGAACTTCGTACGTATGTACATAAGTTCATGTTGCAATACCACATTAGCACAGAGACGCAAATGTCAAATCAAATCCCATAGTGATAAAGATAGTAGGGGGTATTGATGGTAATGAAGAAGACTATGGTTCGAAGATATTATTCAAGAAGTATAATTCAGTGAGATAAGGTTAGAAAGGCAAAGGTAGAGGTGCTGACGAATCCGGAAGATTAGGATTTGAGAGAGCTCAAAGAGTGGATGCACTTGCGCCATTGCAAACGATTTCGAGCCATGTCGTTCAAGGTCTATAACCATTGGTGACTTTCATCTCGCGGACCCCAACCAGGTAGTCTACATCTACCAACATGACTCAGTCCACTGGTCAGTGATTTCATGGATTTCTGCCATGTTTTGGTCTGGCCGCCACTAGCTTTCTTCCAACCTCTTCCTACATCACAAAATATATAGTTGATATTCCCTGGAATCATGTCTTCGATCCCTAATTTTTTCGATTACCTCTACTCCTGCTACGACATATATTATTATAGAATTTGGACTGAAAATCTCATCTCTCTGTGCTAATCTGATACACCAACTTGAATTGACGTACGTACACACTAAGTTCTACGTTATAAGTGACTGACTGATGATATCGTTTAGGTTGTCAAACAGTTTTTCGATTGCAGAGATACAGGGCTTCTTGAAGTGTAATGGTGTTAGCACGTGGTAGTACTACTAAGTTTTCAGTTCTATTGTCTGAATGTGTTCAAATGGTTGTGGACAGAATAGAAATAACCTACATATCACCTATTCTTCGAAATGTATATAACGACCATAAGAGAATGTTAATAAATTATAGTGAAATACTGTCCTGTGTCTTTAAGAATATGTGGAGTTTCCTCTTGAAAAATTTCCGTGAATTCGCTTGAACCATAAAAGCTTGTAGCTCACCAATGAGATTTTTAAGAACGGTGGTCCAGTTTTAACAATTAGATTGACTAAGATCTTGAGTACAATCTGCGAACTTGGTGTAATCTCACCTGACTAGTCTCAACCACTGATTGTCCCAGTCTACAAAAAAGGACAGAAGTCCTCTTGTGACAGTCACAGAGGAATCAGTATGACCAATATAGTATCGAAAATTTTGGCCTCAGTAATATTCGAACGTCTAACCACAGCTCGTGAAGAGCAGACTGGAGAAGAAACATGCTGGTTTTCGACCTGGACACGGATGTATAGATCACATTTTCACAATACATCAGGTCCTAGAACAAATACAAACTTTCAAACGCCTCACAATTGTCGTATTTCTCGACCTTAGGGCGGTATTCGACTCCGTTGATCGTCAGGTTCTGTGGCAGTGTCTGTCATTAAAAGTAGTACCAAAGAAGTACGTTAACCTTATACAAGCTCTCTACTCGAACACTACAGGTCGAGTGAGAGCTTATGGCGAACTGTCATCAGAATTAGTTACTTCAAGTGATGTCTGTCATGGCTGTTCACTCTCTCCATCATTGTTTACTCTTGTCATAGGCGTGCTGCTGGATATAACATTTTCGTCTGAATTTTCAGGAGTGAATCTCCTACCGGGAGATTTATTGATTGACTTGGAAGATGCCGATGACATAGTCCTATTCGATGAAGATGATGGCAAAATGCAGTCTTCTGACTACTCTAAGCAATAATGCAAGCTTGTTCGGGATGCGGTTTTCCCCCTCGAAATGCAAAATGTTGCATCGGCACCTAAACTAGTGATAGGGATTGAAGCAGTTGAGCGTGTCGACCGCTTCACTTATTTCGGGAGTCTCATCGGTGCTTATAGCCTGGTGACTGACGAAGTCTCAGCATGGATAAAGAAAGCTCGGTCGGCTTTTTCCAACTTGTATCACCTATTGCGCAGGCGAGATATCCGTTTGATGACCAAAGGACGAGTGTACTGTGCAGGAGTCCGCTCCGTCCCACCATAGGGATGCGAAACATGGCCGGTAAGAGTTGAGGATATTGGTAGGTAATTAGTTTTCGATTATAGATGTCTTCGAACCATTGCTCGTGTATCGTGGGACAACTGAGTAAGCAATGCTATCGTTAGGAAACGGGTCCTAGTTAAGGGTGGCAGATCAGACGATATAGTATTGAGACTTCGTTAGTTGAGGTTGTTGCGACATGTGCTGCGTATGCGTAACCACTGACTGCCTCTTTCAGGTATGTTTTGCAACGTAGGAATAGGTTGGAAGATAGCTAGGGGCGGCCAAGCCAAAACATGACAAAAATGCATGAAGTCACTGACAGCTGAACTGAGCCACGTTGGTAGGTGTCGACTACCTGGTTGCGGCTCGCGAAATAATAGTAATCGATGTTTAGAGACACTGAATGACATGGCCCAAAACCGTTTGCGATGGCGCAGGTGCATTCATTCTTTATGTTTCTCAAATCCCAAACTTTGTGATTCCTCATAACTTTATCTGCATCTTTTCAAGTTTATTTCATTAGATTCTACTTCTTGAATAATATCGTCGAAGCCTAAAATTTCCGAATACTGCTAATAATTCTATTACTGCGGGATTTGAAGTGACGATTGCATCTCTATGCTGATGTGGTATAGTAACTTGAACTGATGTACGTACGTACGAAGTTCTATGTTGTTGACTGTCTTTTTCTATGACTTTTTCTCCTACTGTCCATGATTACTGCATAAGTTTCTTCAGTCTATTTTTAAGTTGCTTATGCCTTTTACCACATTGCGAGCCTGATGGGATGATTTTCAGAGCAAATGTCAGTTCAGTGGGCGCTACTGAAATTCCCTGACTTTTTTCTCAACCTTTAATGTTACCTTTCTTGCATAAATTTCTTATCGGAAAACCCATCAATTTCATTTTGGTTCCCCACCCTTAGTGGTATTATTGTCTCAGCTTGTCTCGTGATGCAAATGCAGACTGACAAATCGAGCTGTTTTGTTTTATCGTTTTTGGAATTACGAAGTTGCATTCTACTTTATTATCGTAAAGACCAATCGATTACTAATACCTATGTTTGATTTACCTTTCTGATCTTAAAAAGAAGTGCACTTATTTCCATCATCTTGATTTCTTGATTATTTTCAGCAAACCAAACTTCCGAATGCACAAATAATGAATCATCTACCAATTTTTTATCACATCAGATTTTGTTTACTCGGTCGTACAGGACAGTCGATCAGGTTTCGTTATGTTCCTGACCCGGGTACGCTTGAACAGCGTTTGTTTCGAGAAGTCACGAAACCCGTTATACCTCCTATTAATGTAAACCCAGTCGAACGGCGTCTACGCAGAATGGAAGAGGCCCGTCTACGTGTGAGTTATCGTAATTTTTCTAATGGCTCTTTAAAATTCTAAACTGAGTTAGGTATTTTTTTATGATGATTTTCAGCATCAGTTGATACTTCTCACAACTTGGTATCTCAAAATCAACATGATCTTTGGTTGTATAAACCAAAACACTTTTCAGTATTTACGCCATTTTTTTCCTCTATCTATATATGTGAGCATAACTTCTAAGTCCTAAGTGTTGTTCACTGGATTTCTCGACAAGACTTGACCATGTATAGTGACAATACCCTAAAACTTTAAAAACTAGATAAGGGTTTATTTAACCTAATTAAGAAAGGTAAATTTATATCGAATATATTGTCGCTCTCTGTTAAACTCTAGAATATGGTTATATGAACACATTAACAGCCGCATCCTATAGATCTGAAGATTCGTTTAGTTCGTCGAGATATCCAATAAAAGTTGTCCATGATTGACTTTCTTAGCAAATTGTAGTAAGTGTTAGTTAAGAGATTGCTTAATTTATGGTTTAATTTGAATCTCTGTGTATGGTTTATATATATATATATACGTATGGTCCTACATTGTCTATGACCTACCGACGAATTAATATTTCTACTAATAATTCAACAACTGATAGGTTTTATAAATGTGGAGTTTGTTTAACTTATAGTTATCTGGACTAGTCAAACTAAGGACTCTTTTTTTGTATAACAATGTAACGGACGCCTTCAATATATGGAAATCTTTTTCTGGATTATTTTCCACTCTTTCTATATGCCATTCATGTGTGAGGTAACTTGAAGCAACACATACTATCAAATTTAACCTTGATTCAACAGTCTAAACGTAAATACCTATCTGGACTCTTTTATGATACATTTTTACTGTCATATTTTTCATACACATAAATAAAATCAATGTAAAACCTAACAGAAACATTATCGGGCTTAAGTTATTACGCGTCACGTGATTAAATACCCTAAAGTGATCTTGAAAAATAGATCTAAGAAACCAGGAGTATAAGGTAAATAAAATTATTCAAGGAGTAATATGTATCAAATAATAAAATGCTTACTTAAATATAAAGCGTCTTTGCATCTGTCACGCTGCCATTACTCAGAAACTGGCCACTTCAAGTCTTCATTTCTTTACTGAAGTTGTCTGAACCCTATCGACGAAGCTTTTTGTTCCATGCATACCCTGAATCAATCAAAACCTCATGGATTAATATCATTTTTTTGGGCTTACCTCGTTTTTATTCAGACAGTATGTTAATTTGATCTAGAAAACATCTGGGAATGAGTAACTCATGTTTTATCCAACTTTCTTATTCAGTTGATCTCTCTCAGCTATTATTTTACACCTAGTTTCCCAGCACCAATCGAAAATTTTTAACCTGCAAATGTGTTTCATATTCAATGACAACATTCTCGATTAGCTAAACTGGACAACTGTACAATAAATTATCCCCTTTTTATCACATTCAAACATATTCCACCTTTACTTCTACATGCCAAGGTTAGCATGGACAACACTAGATATGAAGACATTATGGGACGACATGAACTGGGAGAGAGGAATGAAAATGGAGTGAGATTCGCAAACCTATGTACATTCAAAAAACTCGTCATAGGCGGAAAAATATTCTCACACAAACGCATACACAAAGCTACATGGATTTCACCCGATCACACTACTCAGAACCAAATCGACCATATCTGTATCCATAATCGATTCAGAAGAACCATAAAGGACGTGAGAACCAAGAGATGAGACAAGACGACATAGCTTCAGAACATCAATTGTTGTTAGTCAAAATGAAGCTGAAACTAGATAAGCACAAGACAGAGGGGCGAACAGCATCACAAAAGTTTAGCACGACCTTCCTCCGGCATACCGACAAACTAAACCAATTTAGGATAGCCTTCAGCAATAGGTTCCAGGCCTTTCACGATCTGTTTAATACAGAGGAAACTACTGTAGAGAAAAAATTTGAAAGCATCAAGAAGGCAATCTCTTAAACATGTCAGGAGATTCTGTGCCACAAGAAGCACCATCACAAAGAATGGATCGACGTTGATACACTGGATAATTTTGATGAGAGGAGGAACGAACAGGCAGCAATCAACAGCAGCCGAACAAAAGCAGAGGAATCAAGGCACAAGCTGAATACACAGAAGCAAACAAGTAAGTAAGGAGGAGCATCAGAGCCGGCAAATGTAAACATATGGAAGATCTGCGATTGACGGCGGAAACTGTTGCAAGAGAAGGAAACTTGGGACAATTGTACGATACAACAAAGAAGCTCGCTGAAAATTATCGTAAAGCAAAACACTCAGTAAAAAGTATGGAAGGAAAAGTAGTTAGCAACATTGAAGAACAGCGAAACAGGTGGGTAGAGCGCTTTGAGGAACTCTTGAATCGACCATCCCCACTGAACCCACTGAAAATGGAAGCGCCATCCAGGGACCTACCAATCAATGTTGGCCCATCAACAATTGAAGAGACCGGCATCGCCATCAGACAAATAAAGCGCGTCAAAGCAGTGGGACCATACAACATTCCAGTAGAGGCAATGAAAGCAGACGTGGCAGCAACTGCGAAAATACTGCACATTCTCTTCAAAAAGATTTGGGATAAAGAGCGAGTACCAACAGGGTGCAAAGATAGACACCTCATCAAGATACCAAAGAAAGACAATCTCAACAAGTGTGAGAACAATAGAGGCATCACACTCTTCTCAATACCAGCAAACCGAACGAAGGTTTCCGTGGACGCTCAACTTCAAGATCAAATGGCTGGATTCCGTAAGGATCGATCGTGTATCGACCAAATCGCAACATTACGGATCATTGTGGAACAATCAATTGAATGTAACTCACCACTCTACATCAACTTCATTGACTACAAAAAAGCATTCGATAGCGTGGATAGGAAAACACTGTGGAGGCTTCTTCGACATCACGGCGTACTTGAGAAGATAGTCAACATCATACTGAATTCTTATGATGGATTTAACTGCAAAATCGTGCACAGAGGACAGCTGACAGACCCGTTCGAGGTGAAGACCGGTGTCAGACAAGGTTACTTACTCTTACCCTTTCTCTTTCTCCTGGTGACCGACTGAATTATGAGGACGTCAACTTATGGAGGGAAGCACGGGAAACAGTGGAAAACCAGCGTGCAGCTAAACCATCTGAACTTTGCAAATGATCTAGCTCTTCTATCGCACACACAACAACAAATGCATAGAAGGCGACTAGTGTAACGGCAGACTCAGCATCAGCATGTTTCAACATACATAAAGGTAAAAGCGAGATTCTCCGAACCAACACAACATGCACAGACCATATCACTCTTGATGTGGATGCCTTGAGGATTTAAAACCCTTTACATGTTTGGGCAGCCTCGTGGATGGGCATGATGGATCTGATACAGGTGTGAAGGCGCGGATCAACAAAGCAATGGCTGCGTTTCTACAATCGTAGAACATCTAGAACTCCAAACAAATATCAACCAACACCAAAGTCAGGATTTTCAGTACAAATGTGAAGATAGTTCTACTGTTTCTAGTGGAAACTTAAAGAAGTATCAATGTCAACATCCAGAAGATACAAGTATTTATTAACAGTTGTCTACGGCAAATACTTCGAATCTGTTGACCATACACCATCAGCAACAACCTGCTGTGAGAGAGAACAAACCAGATACTAGCGGAGGTGGAAATCAGGAAGGAGTGGTGGAAGTGGATAGGACACACATTGTGTAAAGCAGTCATAAAAATTTACCGTCGAGTAAATTCAGTTTGACGATAAGGAATGGATTTTAAAAATCGTTTCTTAGATAACGCTTTTTAAAACAGTTCCTTATAAACGCTCATCTGTATCGAAAATCTCTAGTGATATTGTCCACAGCTATTTCCATTTTTAACATTTTCATTTATTATGATCTTTGATGTGCTTGTAGAAACGATACTATTTTGTGTGAGTTTTTTAGAGCTTGACCTGTTAACTAAGATATAATAGTTTTATTTCGTATTCTACATATTACCTCTTTCTTATCGAATAACAGGGTTCATTCCCAGTTTATCTAGTTGTACCAGTGATATAGTAATGTCATAAAACTGTAAATCATTTCCAACTATTAGGTTGTGACTTAGAATCCCGCTATACGTACTTGGGATTGACCAATTTTGAATAGTGTCGTTACATACTCAACATAAGATTTGAAACTGAACACATGACCCAGTGTTTGATCAGTAAGTGACACTAATAAAATTGTTATTCTTGAGACTCGAATTTTAAGCACTAACTATTCCTAATATTAATCCTATTTTATTATTATTATTATTATTATTATTATTATTATTATTATTACATGCAAATACTATTTTTAGAAAGAAACTAATCCATATCGAAATTTTCTGATTGACAAAGCGAAGGAAGATTTTTTCAAAGCAATGGATAATAATATGGTACTAGTTTTTCAACAGCTATATCATAAAGCTCGTGAAATGGTGCCTGTACAAAATAAATTATATTTAAAGAATATGCATTTCAAAGGATTTCCATTATCGATTTTAAGGTGAGTTGTTGATTCTGCTTGTTTCATCATATTTTTTCCCCATTATATATGTATGTCTATATTCGTTAACGTAAAGTAATCTAAAGAACTAGATAATAAAAATTCATATATGTGCATGTATTAAGCTAACACTTAAATTGTCGCACATATTTCTGTTATTGAACTTATGTATCGTAATTTATCTAAAGTTTGTTTTGCCAGTGTGTTTTTTTCATTAATTTGTAATACCTTGTGAAATTCAAGTGGCTTCAATTTCTCATATCTTCTAAATTGATGCTGTGCTTATGTAAACATAACTTTGTTTCAGGTGATGAATACCAATCACACATCATAGTTGAAGATATTGGGTTTCATCTCAATATAGGTCCTGTTCTTTTTTTACCCTCCTTATGTAATTGATTGGTCAGTCGGTACCATCGCACTTGACATACGTATCAACAGGTTACAACATATCGTAAGGCTTGGTAAATTATCATTAATAATAATAATCTACTTTTATTTTTCTATTTTGTGTTGCTTACTGATTTGTTTGAGGCGTTTTTTTGTAGGGAAGCTTCCAAAGGAACTCGTTATGAAATGTTTACACGCTATTTGCTCCATTCAAATATTCCTAATACATATTTATTTGCTGAGCCTACTCCTGAAAAATGTCGTGAAGCAATAAATATAACTAAAAAAGTTCATTTTCTTCTTTTACTCGGTAGGTAAAAAAGAATGTTGTCTTTTAATTAATTACATGTTGTAGTACAGTCAAATAGTGTAGATACTAATCTTTTTTTTAAAGCCTCCACTTTTGCATTGATGTAAACAATGATAAAGTTTTGTTAAGTCCTACATTATCTCTATTTGTTTGTATTTGGGTTTCGTAAATCCCTAAACCTTACGGTAACGCTCACCTTTGATCTATTTGAACAAACGGATTATGTCTTTAGTCCTTTCGTGAAACGATACAAAGAAAGTAAGTCATACAAGATCATAGTAAGCAGCGCCAAAAAGTCGAGTAATAATGAAAGTACATTCGAGAAACTTCTTTAGCTGCAGCAGAATAAACAAAAATAGTATGAAACAATTTTTCACATTTAAAATTCGTTTTTGCTTCTGAATCTTGTAGGTTCCTGAGCGATCATGCTTGTTTCATTGTCTTATTAATTGCTAATCTAACATGATTGTCCTTATATTTCATAGTACTGTAGTGAACGAGAACACAGGTGGGGCAACCGAATTGTATTTAACGAAAATTACAGAGTTACTCAGTAAAATCGGAACACCATATCGTAAATCGTTAATTTGCAAATTATCAGTCCATCATATCGAACTGGACTGTTCCTGTTGCAAAACATCAATCCATTGTCACTATTCATGCGTTTCATACGAATTCCCTTGTGTTCTAACTCTTCCTTTCTTGATCTTCCCCCATCTTCTGCTGCCAGACATTACGTTGACACTCACGTCATACACTACTTATAAGTAGCTCGCACCACACTCTTCCCCCCTTTTAATAAGCTGTCGTCACTTTCAAAATAGGGACCCTGGTCAGTTAATATCACCTTCCGTATTCCGTGACACGCTACAATATGCCGGATTACCACTTCTGTCATTGTTCTTGCCCGCTGGTCTGGAATGGATACGGCATCTATCCAAAGTGTATCGTTTACTAGTTCCCGCTGCTGGGACACGGCGTCAGGCCCACTCTCGATAAATTGCGACGCCAACAACTGTGCCCCCGACTCCTCATCCATACTCGGTAGCGTACGGCGCAGCAACATCGTGAGCTCCACAGCCGGCACCAACGGGTCACCATCAGCCGACAGCATCGCCAACCGGAACATCTGCAGCGCGTCCTGCCTATCCGCCGGGCTGTCGAACTCCACCAGCAGCCTTTCCGTCACCACCTTCCAGTCAGCGTCCTCCACACCATCGTACACCGGTCTCGCCCTGCCTCTTAGTAGAGTCCCCAGCACCACCGCCCTCGCCCTCCGTTCCTTGACTCCGACCAGCTCCGCCACGGCCTCGAACTCCTTCAAGAAGCTCCTTACATCTCCGTCTTCAAACTCCCAAGGCCATGGGATCTTCATCCTGTGTAGAGGCAGCGACACCAGTTGAGAAGACTGAGGCAGGCGCGATAGATTGTATTTAGCAAATTTACACTCTTAGTCGATTAAAAAGGAAAACATTACATTGAACACTATTTGCACACCATCTTTGAGTCCTGACTTCCAACGCTCCAGCCTTCTTCCATTCCTGCTGTTGCTTCCTTGACTTCCTGTCGGTACTCCATTTACTTCTGTCTTTTGCTCCATTTGCTTTCCGTTCTCCTCTTGTGACCGTGAGAGTTCTTCTTTCACGTCCCTTCTTATACTACTTATATCGTTCGTATAAGTAGCACACACTATCTCTTTTTCAAGGTACACACCCACCAAGGAGATAGTCATTTAATGAAGTTGTTCGAATGTATTAACATTGTTAAATTTAATCTTCCCTCTTTTAAAACGTATGCTATGATCAGTTGAACACAACTTTAATTTGTACCTCGCCGTATGGATATTATTATTATTGTTATTATTATTATTATTAGTAGTAGTAGTACTAGTAGTAGTGCCGTTGAAATATTACGATTTTAAATTATCAGTATTTTGAAAATCAAAAGTTTATTTCCTTAAAATTTACTTTATTCTTAGGGAAATAGTAATCAAAGATTGACATGTTAATTATATTTATTCGTTTTATGTAGAGTTGCGTTGTTCGCTAAAATTAATATGAGTTGTCAATCATTCAGTATATAAAATATCTATACTTTCAGAATGATATTAATTTGGTTAGAGTTTTTTTAAACATGTGATTTCTTTATTTTTTTATTATTTTACAAATGCAATGATCCAACCTGTCCCTTTAAGATGTGTTACTCTCTGGAAATACTAAACTTTCATCATATTTCTCAAGCTAGTAAAATTGGTTTAGTTTACTTAGTGTCAGCTTCCTTTTTATCTATTCATAACTGTACATAGTGTGTATCTTTTGGTTTCTATGCTATTTGTGTATCATTTTAGTTTTCAACAAAATAAATAGACATTTAATTCATTTCAATTTTCTTTTTCATTCTTTACATGCATCATATTTTAGGCGGTATTGTTGATTATCGGATTATGACTGTACAGCAGCTGAATGCATTTGCTTCCTTATCATCTCAGGGCTTGGATGGTGCACGTAGTCGATTGGTTATGCTATTAGAACAAAATCGAGGCGAACACATTGTACGAGATTTAAACTACCATCAGTCTTTTATTGTTGGTGGATTAAAGAATTTATCTGATGAATTGAAAAGTGATCATAAAACGCCTTCGTCAGAAGATTCATGAGCTACAATCATTTTAGTCAAATTATTAATTGTCCCTTTTTTGTAAATATTTTGAGTGAATATTATTTATTTATTGTAAATATAAACATTATTTTATACACCAGTTACTTTTAACTCATATAGTCTTATTCAAAATGTTGTTGTTTGTAGTTTATTAGAGCTGTTGTATTCTACAATATTTAAAATAAATGGTTAAGATTATAAATTGTGGTTCATTCGTTAAGCCACTCAATCAATGACCCACGATTTTTAACCACTACAACCCATAGCGATTCTGACAGGTAGATAATACTAGTAAGCTTAGCCTAAAAGACCTAACTGTTAATGTAATACAGTAGTAGCCTGTTAATATCTGGATCAGTAGTTTAAACACTTGGTTTCCAACTACCTATTTACATATTCGAACTCTGATGTAATCATTTCTATTCTGGTAGTATGTGCAAATGTACTCACTTACCAAATGTCATTGCTGGAGTAAGTGTTTACAGTCGTACTTTGGATTTTAATTGCATAGGCATCTTCATATCAGTCTGTATGCATAGTGTGAACGATAATACAATTACTTTCTTGATTTTCTTTCTACCTCAAAACTATCACAAAACTATTATAGTTCATGACCTATTTTAGAGTTCATTTCACTGTTATCACTTTATTTATTGATGACTAGTGGAATAGTGAATTGAAATTTTATCCTTTATTTAGCACTAGTAAACAGATTACACCTTAATTTCACTGATCTATGTGGTTATAAGTGTAACAACCGTAATTTGAAATAAAAATGTTGTGTTCCAAATCCATCAACTACAGTTCGATGTTGGTCCTTAGTACGGTGGGTCTCTAAATCTAATCCAAGTATCGCTAATGTAACTCATAACGGGAACGAAGTATTCAATTTATCCCGGTTTTTTATTAGATATGTTAAGTCATTTGTGTTGAGTTTTCTGCAGAATTACTTAGTTTTATTCACAACTTTCTGATCTGAAATTTTCCAATCACATCTTTTTCTCTTACATGTTCGAATCGCCTCAATTTCTGTTTGATCAACTGAGTATTATTTTTGACGTGTTTGTTTAGGATTTAGCGTACCGTTTAGTATGCAAATAACTAGGAGCGAAGGTTTCGTCCAATTTCTTGCTTGCCATAAATACTTGTATGAAACCTTGAGGCAACTGAAATTCGACGTAGGATTGAAACCTGTAATGCTCACTGTATCTTTTGCTAATCCCCAATTCTAAAAAATATTTTAATTGTACCAGGGTTTTTTTTTTACTTCTGGTGTTTTGTTTTTCTGTTCTCAAACAATTTGTTCATACATTTTTTTTAAAATTCTTACTCCATTGTAACAAAGTTCTGTTAAAATCATTCTTAATCTAGTGAAAATTTCGATATACATATCACTGATCTAAATCATGTCTAGTTGACAAACGATGGATGAATTATGTTTTCATAGTGACAAATTACAAAACTTCGACTGTCAACTGAGTTGATTAGGTGAGTTTATATTATGTATAATGCAAAGTAGTATTCTGTGTTTTATGGTAAATTTTCCTATCATATCCTACATATTCCAGTGGTCAGGTTTCACACTCATCACCCGCTTTTATTTTAAACGTCAAGGAGTTTTAAGTATATTTGATTTGTCTCGATTTCTGTCCTAGGATGCAAAAAATTTAAAAATTATTACGTTTTAAACTCCTTGTTATTTGTGCGTTCATTATTAAAATGAATGTTAAGAAAAATTACTTCATTTCATCAATCAATCAACAGCAACGTAGAACTTCGTACGTAAGTACATCAATTCAAGTTTCCATACCATTGTCAATTCAAATCCCATAATAGTAGATTTAGTGAAAGTATTAGCAGTAATCAGAGAGATTAGGGTTCGAAGATATTATTCAAGAAGTAGAATCTACTGAAATAAACATTTCATAAGTAATCCTTTAATTAACTGACTAAATCTTTTCACACATTGAAATATATTAAATATGTTTGCAGCCTTAAAGTTCACCATCAGTTTGCTTTAAAATTCCTGATTTTAATATATATCAAATCACTTTCACTAAACCTCATACATTTACTATTTTGCTTAAGTTCTAAACTAATAATCTGTATTCGCTTTCGCTAGCTATCCCTGTTTAACCTTCCAATTAATATTTAAAAGAAAAGTATACACTTGATTAGATTATTCTAAAGTAGAATACAATTTTGAAAAAAAAATTACACATTTTAGCTAGAAATTGTCTTTATTATATTATCAGTTAGAGCTTTGGAGATTTGTGTTTTTACACAGTTGAAATCATCAATCAATCAATTTTAGACCACCATTAGAAACTTGTTGGGTGTAGGCGGTAACTACCGAAGACAAATGGATGGAGTCGCGCGTAACCCGTAGATCAATCAGAGTTAGACAATAATACCTTTAGAGCCGGCCCAGTGATCCGATGGTTAGGCGTCCGCGAACAATACCGAAGGCCCCGGTTTCGAATCCTGCGAAGTGCAGGAGTCGTGGATGCGCACTGCTGATGAGTCCCATACCAGGACGAAACGGCCATCCAGTGCTTCCAGGTGTCTAATGGTGGTCTAACAATGATTGATTGATGATTTATTATATTAGTCCAATTGATGTAGACGCACTTATTCAAATATCGAAAAGAAATCATTTTCATTTTACCTTTAATGTTGATGATTCATTGTTTGTTTTTTTAAAAAAAACCAGTAATACTTTTATTCCCTTTAGTAAAACAACATTTCAAATATAGAAAAACAAAATATCCGAAATAAATTAGATCATATATATATATTCATGAATCTATCAAGATTTTTACCTTATTTAATTATATCCTATAAACAAAGTTGTCACAATGTCTATCGTATACTATACACTTCTTCTCTGTTATCATCATCATCATCATTAACATCATCAAAGCCTAGTGAAATTAATAAACCAAATGGTTATAAAATGCTCATCAAATCATCATCAGTTCGATTACGATTAGATAATTTACCAACAAGTGCACAACAATATTTGAATGTTACTCCATCCGATAAACCGTCGGAATTTATCGTGGTCTTGTCTAGTGATGTACAGAAAATGATTAGAAAAATTCATTGTTCTGTTAATTATGTGAGTTCGGAAATTATTTTTTGTTTTTGGTTATTATGTTAAAAATAATTCTTTCGTTTCGTCATTTTATAACAAAATTCTTTCATATCATTCTACTTGAACTTGAATTTATAATTGTAGTTGACTCATTTTAGGATATGACTAAGTGACTGAATATAATATATATATCATGAATTCATATTAACAGAATCCAGTAATTCAATAAGTATAAGTTTATTTACTGTACTTCTGGTGCTATAGTTAACTAATTAAAGAAACTTCTCATTCCTTACATTTTTATGAAGGAAGAGACAAGAAGTTTTTGATATGTTCTTGAGCAAGGGAAAAAGAATATGATATTCAGACTCATATTGTTAGTTTAATATTACCTTTGTACATGATAATAACTATCACTTAATGAACAGCGTAGATGTAAAAGTTATAATGAAAGTATTTTTGAAACATTCAATCTACAGTTTTTCAAAAAAAAATTGATGGGATATTGGTAAAAAACCTAAGGATTCTCAAACATGGCTAGTTTTAGAAATATTTCAATCCCATTGAATGCTTCTGGATTTTACATAATCTTGTAGAACTCCTCATTAGTTCATAGCCTCCAACTTAATGTTCCATGTAATTTTGGAAAACTTAAGATATTTTTACTACAGTCCGGTATTATCACATCAGTAATTTTATTCTGTATTAAATGAATTTAAACACATATATACATACATGTTCAAAATTTGATTTTTCGCATATTTGTAGATTGACGATAAGTTACAGCCTCCATTACTTCAGTTGATTGTAAAAGAGGACACATCAAATCACAATAAATTTTTACGTAAACATGGAGTTCACTTGCCTGAAAAAACTCGAGTAAAAGTTATTGAGTTTAACTCTGATATAGACAATGCTATGTTCAAATTTCGACTGAAACAAGCAGAAAATTTCTTACTAACTGATCATTCTGTAATCATGGTTGTTAATTTAAAATATTTAAGAAAATTATTGTCAAATAAAAATGTACAGTCTACTACTACTACTACTTCTACTACTACTACTACTAATATGAAAGTAGATGAATGTGAAAAGCAGCTACAAAATTTAAGAAAGGTGCGTAAATGCAATGGAAGTTTATTCATTTGAATGTTTGTTTGTTTTTTTGAATTTTCTTGTGTTTAATATATTTATCGTTGTACATCACATATTTTTAATTATCATGTAGTATTATTTCAGTCAGAAATTTGTATTCAGCACCAGAAAATAACGCATCACTCATTTTCTATTTCTTTTTTTAGACTTATTTATGTACACATTTCGATCATGTTCTAATCACTTATCTTTTATTCAATTTGTCAATGAACGATGAAAAAAAAGTATGAGTTTTCATTAGTCTGAAGTACACTAAACTGATTAAAATACTTGAAATCAACAAATCTATGCAATAGGGCTTCTTAACGATTGATCTTATGATGTGGATAACATGATTAGAAAATCCAGCTTTTAATTAAATGATTAATAATCTTTGTAGGTATTACACTATGAACTGACTTGGTAATTGCAAGTAAGCAGATAATATATTTTCGTGCATCCTGGTGGAACGTACCACTACGAAATATGATCTCAATTTCCATAGGTCATGATGACTCATCTAGTCATTAATTTATTGATTTTTTGTAACATTACTTACTTACGCCTGTTACCCCCTTTTGCAGGCTATGTCACCGACCAGTTTTCTCTATATTCGTATTACAAGTATCTAATATCCAAATACAGAGACTTCATTGAAGAAATTTTCCTTTCGACAATATCGTTTATAACATTAATAGCTATACAGTAGTTTTCATAGTTATTTTACACGTAACAGTATGTAATCTTTCGTGTTCATTTAACAGTATTTTTATTTGATTGCTTTATATGTACTCATTGTTTTTTTTTATTCCTTACCCTTTTGAAAAGCTCAGGTGGAATACGAGAAAAACGTTGCAAAGTACACTGAAATATTCCAAAATATTCCTCATTGTAAAGTACGCAATATAGATCGACCGAACATGTCAAATGTTGTTATGATTTTAGAACCTATTAAAATAAATTAAAGCAATAATTACCGCAAACCTGTTCTTTTTCGACTAAAATAATCATATTGTCTGTCGACAACTCCATCATTTATTGGAATAATTTACTTTTACTCACGCTTGTCACCCTTAATGGAGTATAGGCCACCGACCAGTATTAGCTAGACTACTCTGTTCTGGGCTTCCTTCCCCATTTCTGTCCAATTTTTGTTCATTCTTCTCATGTCTGTCTTCATTTCTCGGCGTAATGTGTTCATTGGCCTTCCCCCTTTCCTTTGACCTTGAGGGTTCCAGGTGAGTGCTTATCTTGTGACGCAATCGGGTGCATTGCAAAGTGTGTGTCCTATTCACTTCCGCCACTCCTTCCTGATTTCCACCTCCACTGGAATCAAGTTTGTTCTCTCCCACAGTACGTTGTTGCTGATGGTGTCTGGTCAACAGATTCGAAGTATTTGCCGTAGACAACTGTTAATAAATACTTGTATCTTCTGGATGATGGCTTTCGTAGTTCTCCAAGTTTCCACTCGAAACAGTAGAACTATCTTCACATTTGTACTGAAAATCCTGACTTTGGTGTTGGTTGATATTTGTTTGGAGTTCTAGATGTTCTGCGACTGTAGAAACGCAGCCATTGCTTTGCTGATCCGCGCCTTCACATCTGTATCAGATCCATCATGCCTATCAACGAGGCTGCCCAAACATGTAAAGGGTTTTAAATCCTCAAGGCATCCACATCAAGAGTGATATGGTTTGTGCATGCTGTGTTGGTTCGGAGAATCGTGCCTTTTCCTTTATGTATGTTGAGACTTGCTGATGCTGAGTCTGCCGTTACACTAGTCGCCTTCTATGCATTTGTTGTTGTGTGTGCGATAGAAGAGCTAGATCATTTGCAAAGTTCAGATGGTTTAGCTGCACGCTGGTTTTCCACTGTTTCCCGTGCTTCCCTCCATAAGTTGACGTCCTCATAATTCAGTCGGTCACCAGGAGAAAGAGAAAGGGTAAGAGTAAGTAACCTTGTCTGACACCGGTCTTCACCTCGAACGGGTCTGTCAGCTGTCCTCTGTGCACGATTTTGCAGTTAAATCCATCATAAGAATTCAGTATGATGTTGACTATCTTCTCAAGTACGCCGTGATGTCGAATAAACCTCCACAGTGTTTTCCTATCCACGCTATCGAATGCTTTTTTGTAGTCAATGAAGTTGATGTAGAGTAGTGAGTTACATTCAATTGATTGTTCCACAATGATCCGTAATTTTGCATTTATTGTGTAGGCGATAGAAAAGCCATGTCATCTGCGAAGTCCAGCCTATTCCGCCGTCATTTCCAGGTCTAAATGATTGCCTCATTGATCGTTTCCCATTTTTTCTCTATAGTAGTTTCCTCTGTATTAAACAGATCGTGAAATACTTGGAACCTATCGTTTAGTTTGTCGGTATGCAGAAGAAAGGTCGTACTAAACGTTTGTGATGCTGTTCGCCCCTTTGTCTTGTGCTTCTCTAGTTTCAGCTTCATTTTGACTACCAATGATTGATGTTTTGAAGCTATGTCGTCTTGTCTCATCTCTTGGTTCTCACGTCCTTTATGGTTCTTCTGAATTGATCATAGATACAGATATGGTCGATTCGGTTCTGAGTAGTGTGATCGGGTGAAATCCATGTAGCTTTGTGTATGCGTTTGTGTGAGAATATTTTACCGCCTATGACGAGTTTGTTGAATGTACATAGGTTTGCGAATCTCACATCATTTTCGTTCCTCTCCGCCAGTCCATGTCGTCCAATGAAGTCTCCATATCTGGTGTTGTCCATGCCAAGCTTGTCATTTAGCTCCACTGTCAGAATGGTTGAATCGTTTGATGATCATCAGTCGACGATAGTCTGCAGCCTCTCGTAGAGTTGATCTTTAACGTCTTAACTGCAGTCGTTAGTAGTTGCATAGAGTTAGATGACGTGCTGCCAGGTTTCAAATGGTGGTCCTAAATTGATGGATTCATGATTTCAAGTGTATAACTTATTAATCTCCAGAACCCCGCTATGCAATTACGTTAGATACCGGCTCAGTGGTCCAAATGTTAGTCCTCCGCGTGCAAGGCTGAAGGTCCTGGGAGTGCAAAAATCATATATGTGCACTACTGATGAACGCCCTGTTATTGGGTTGGTTTAACGTGTTCTACTTTAGGCTCTTTATGGGACTTCTAGTTGAGATACATTATTTCTGCAGTTTCGATTTACAAGCTTGTCCGACTGTTACATGTTATTAACTATGGGTTTGGCATCAAAACAATAGAGTTAGCAGTTATGGAGAAAAAAATTACGAGATTTCAAACAATCCATATTCATTTAGAATGTACTGGCGGAGATCTGTTTAACGGAGTATTATAGTTAAAAGTTGGACAATAGATGACAAGATTGGGTCAAATGTAAGTCACTGGAGTGCATGTGATAACAGTTAAACTGATAATAGGCAATATGAAACTCACCAAATTATGGGTGTTACTAAAGTTTTGTCCGCAACAACAGGGTCCGTTCCAATCAACCAGTTTGCAGTTAAACAATATCGATCGAATCAGTGAGTAACCTGTCTATTTCAAGTAAAGATTTGTAGCTAACTTGAAGAATTTAATACTAATTCGTAGGGGGATAAATATTAAAATGCAGCTCTGAATTCAATAAAGCTTAGACCTGTAGGGAGCTACTAATATTGAGTTCACGCTTGCAGATTAATCGGTGCAACAGAAAGATTCATTTAGATGCTGTAAAAACTCATATAGCCCACCCGCCATGAGCATTTTCGAGGGAACGCTATTCCATATCAGTGCATTCTTAGTAAGGAAGACGTTTTCCCGAGTATTTGATTCATACTTCTCAAGTTTCACCGTAGATACTTTATCTAGAATGGTGTATGTACGAGGGCTTTGGATAAGGAATATACTACAAGAGGAGTAGGTGAGCTTGTTCAGGAGCTTAAAGTAGAGGATTAGATAGGAATTAAGCCTTCTTTCCTATGGTAGATCAAGTCCAATTTGATAAAATCGAGTTGGATCGTCAGTGAATGAGTTATGATTTAACATCCTGCAAGTGAAATTTCTTTGTATTCCTTCAACTTTCAACAGATCAGATAGGCGTAAGTTGAAAAGTAAGAATGAGCAGTTTTCAGCAGTAGGTCTTACGCATGTTGTTTACAGAATTGTACTGGATTCTATAGGAAGCAAGTTGCATTTTTCTCATTCGGAAAACTTTGTTGGAAATTTCTTCAGAGAAGTTTAAGCTTGGCGAGTAATTCACTCTTAGGTGGGTTACTGATTTGAAAATAGGTAGAACATTCTTGCCTGGAGAGAGAATAATTTTAGTAGTGTCTTCAAAACACATCCAGTCAAATTTTTGAGTAATGAGTCTTAAGTTACAACGCTTACATCAATTATCTACATTACTGAGTTCAAATCGGATTATGTACATCAAGTTTTCTATGTCAGATGTGTCAGTTTTATAGAAGATAAGAGGTAGGTTTTGTCAGCATTAAAGCATATGCTTTTGATAGGTAGTGGACCCAAGACGCTGTCCGGCTCAACAATACTGGTGATTGGTCGGGTTGTAGATATAGCAGAGTTAATTTTGGTAACTTGGCATCCATTTGTGAGAAAAGACCCAATCCATTGCAATAGGTGGCCATTAATCATGACGGAATGATGTCTGTTAAATAAGAGATTGTGAGGTATCTTATCGAAACCCTTTTAGATATCAAAATACAACACAATCAGTAGTTGCGTTTGACTGTATGATGGTCACTTCATCGACCAAATCTGTCAGATAGGACGTGCATGACCTAAATCTAGTCAAGCCTTATTGTAAGGGGTAGATGAGACCTTCATTGAGTAAGTGATCAGACAGATGATCTTTTATCAATTTCCCCACTACTCATGAGATAACTAGGGCAACATTATTGGTCTGCAGTTTTGGATTAAGTTTTTTCGGCCAAGTTTTGTGCATGGGGATGGCATGAGTTAATTTTCAGGTTTCTGGGTAATATACCAACCTCTAGATACAATGTAAATATTTTGAGCAAAAGTGTTAGTGCTTTTCGACCCGCTATTTTGAAGAGTATGGATGGTATTTCATGCGCACCACAGCTTGCATTGAGTTTGAATGCTTTAGTGGTGGCCTGAATATAATTAAGTTCAAAGTCGATATTATTGAGATTATTCTTAGTAATACAATTAAGAATAATGGCAGAGGTAAGAGATGTGTTCTGGTTGAGGGAAAACAGTTCATAAATAACAGTGTAGTCATAATAGGTAATTCCGTCAGGCAGTATTGAATAAATGCTGTGGTTCATTTTCTTTCTTTCTTTGTTAAACAGACGACAGAATTTTTGGGACTTGCATGCAGTAGCAAGTGCATTACCTTCCGTTTGCCTACGCACTCCATGTTGGCTTTTTACACCATCAAGTACAGAGTAGATTTTGTACATGATGCCGAAGTCCTTAGATATGCAGTTTGTACGTTTAAGTTTACGTTTCCTATCCCTGGATGTTTGGTGTTGTCAATAATGAAGGTAAATTAACACTGTTGAGAGTGATGAATACAACTAGTCGCCACATACATCTGTGAGCAAACAAAATGTCCCATTTAGTATCAATCGTTCGGTCTGCGATTCACAGTTTTACAAAATATTAGGGAGCTGCCTTTCATAATCTGAATATTTATGGCCTTATATCCAAAAATTTAAACACATTAAGGTTTAGTGAATTCACCACTAGAAAGATCAGCTGTGAATCTGTAGAATATATCTAGTAGACCGACACAGCCTAATTGAATTCATTTTTCATTTTGTTTGCTACAAATCTTTGTTTTCTGACCTGTATATTACATTTATAAGAACAGTCAAAGTAAGCCAGGTAACAGTTCAGATTTAAAGATTATTAATTGGTTGTGCCATAACATATGATTTGGAGATTTGGATGTGTGAAGTGTCCACACAAAAAGCTTTTTTGCGTCGGGCTACAGTAGTTTCTGTGCGAATGACAAGCTAAGCCAACCGGTTGAATCGCATACATGTTCTGAAAAGAATTCCAATATCGCGCAACTCGAACACTTGATTTGAAAGATTTGGCTTGGGCTTTAGAACTTTCTGAGGATGTTCCCTCAGATAAACAGCCCTAGATGGAAGAAGATATGGAGTATTGGTTAATTGATAATCCATATAGTGAAAGCCAACTTTGAATCACCTCGTTTGGGTCCTTCATTGTAAGATAGTTTAAGGAGACTCTGCTTATTTGAAGCAATACCCTACTCCTTGAGTCAATTATTCCATACGCGATCCTAAAATTTATGGTAGAAGTATAGTACCTTGAAAATTTCCTCATCCAATTAACTTGATGACTGGAGCATAGCCCATAAGACTTTGAATGATTTGACTGGTACAAGGATAGAATTACTCGTAAGTCCAACGTCAATAATTATTACGACTTCCAGATTTTTATAATCTATGACTTCAAGAGATGGCAATACAGTTTGTTGTTACATGAATCATAGCAGTTATTTTTAGGTATCAATGAACTCTTGCTAGAATTAACTTCTGATGACCGTTTGTTTTCCAGTTCAACCAATGAAACCAGGTCATTTCGTAATAGCTTCTGATGTATAGTGTGTCCCAATTCTAGATTTTTTTCGGTGAACGTTGGTAGTGATAATTTTTGCTCATTCCTACAAGTCATCTGCCCGAGGTAAAGAACTAGACTTTCGAAGTTTATAACTTCAAGAATTCTACTTTAGGGAGATTTTCATAGCTCATAGTCATAAACATATTTCAGCCCTGTTTTTGTTGAACGGGGTTCTGGAACTCTAATGCATGGTGAACAGTTATTGGGTCTACGTGGCCAGAACAACGCACAACACCGGCGAAGCTAACAGTAACTTTGATAATGTCTCTCTTCAACTGAAGGAAAAATCTCTATCCGCATTAAAAGTTACTGCTATCAACTGTAGGCAGATATGCAGATAGGAAAACAGACATATATTTATAAGATAATGATCAGTGCGCAAATCAAATAGAATTACATACCGCAGAACGAAGAAAGAAACATCCTCCTCCGAAACATTAAAGAATACCTAGAAAAACAATGCTTTAGATGCATGAAACGCACCAATGTAGTACTAACTGAAAACAAGCATTAAAATCACCAGCCCCTTTTTTAAACGTAATCCTGAAGACATTTGTTGTTGCTTGTTCAATCCATCCTTTCCTTCCAACCTATGTTTATTGTCATTTTTACAGTTGAAATCTGAATTAAAAACTTATTCTATAAGTGCACATTCTCCCTCCTGTTACGCGAATAGTGAACAACGTTATATGAGTTCCGATCCCTAATGTCTCCTTACAGCGCGATCTCTTTTTAATAACCAATGAAAGCCTCCACACCAGCTAGACATATAAAGGGGACGCAACCAGGGCTAATCCAACTCTTCGATCCATGCGAAGACAACCTGATGCTATCACCACAGAATTATTCTTAACGCCGTTTAAGACCAATGCACACCCACACACCTTGGGGTTCACAACGTCGTCGCAGCCCCTCTCCTTAAAATAAGCATAAATCTCTTGGATCGAGTGTAGAGGCAAGCAAGGACGTGAGCGCTAGAGTTGGAGAATAAAAGATAAACTGCAGCACCTGGAATTATTTCTCTGAGTTATTACAGAATCAGTGGTTATCTGATTATGGAGTACATGTTAAGCACGTCAAACCATCCTAACGTGAGCATCTTACCAAGGCATCAACACAACAACCACCGAGGTAATCTTCGAAAATTTGCGCAGTGAAGAGCGAAAACTCAGCTTCGTGCACACTTTTCTCATTGAGAGTCGTTGCGACTTAGAATGCTCTCTCGGCCGAGGTGATCACCCACTCACATACGGATTTTCATCTCCCTCGTGGACCAGCTGTGCCTGGTGTGACTTGAGACTGGCTAATCGTGGTTACTGCCATATCCTCAGATCACAAAACCTATTTCGCTTCTTATTTCTGCTACCTCTCCCTTGCTTACACTTCGGTATTCTTGCACACTCTTCACCGTCAATTAATTAAATTAGTCATCCATTTATTTACTTAGTTCTGAAGGCTTCACATTATTATCATGAGATTCTTCTGGTTAATAATCTCAACACTGAAACTAACTGATCCCCGGCCTGGCAACGTGACAGCTGCTGGTATACGAAAACCCTAATAACCTGAAACAAGCATACTCATTCATATCACGGGACATACGAATTCACAAACCACTGCCAGCTGGCTAGAATTAGACAGAGAAATAGCTAGACTACCAATCATTTGACACTATCAAACACCTGGAACCTTAGGGAACGAACAAGAATCGGACGAAAAGATATCAATAGGTTTATTGTAGCTCGTGAATAGTAGAACCTCGGTTATGCACACCACTAAACGCTTGCTACAGGCGATTAGGAGAGCCTGGCACAAGTGGAAGGTCTCCTTGAAGGATTCCAATCGCAGTTCCTACTTGGCATTGAGAAACAGATGCAATACCAAAGTTCCAAGTGACAGGAGACAATTTCAGATGAAGCTAGCTGCCAAAATAAAGGCGAACCCGAAGCATCTGTTTCGTTTCATATCCATAAGAAAACCCACTAATCAAGGGTTGCGTTCTCTAAAAGGACCAAACGGGGAAGACCTCACCAACCTAGAGATGGTCGAGATCCTCAAAACTAACTTTTCTGAGCATTTGAACCAGGCACCAGAATGTTCAGAGTACCACGCCAACCCATTATCAGCTGACGGCTTAGGAAACATCCGTATCACTCCTGACTTAGTACTGAGGCAAATAAAATCCTTACGCCCAGTTAAGTCAACAGGTTGTGATAAAGTCCGCCCTATAGTCTTGAAACAGTGTGCTGAAGTCCTCTGTTCATCGATATATGACCTGTTCAGGCATTCACTGAGTCACACCTATTCCCAGCTGAATAGAAACAAGCTACTCTCTCTCCATTCTTCAAAGGAGGAAATAGAAAGGACCCAACCTGTTACAGACCAGTCGCACTACTGCCAATATTATCAAATGTTAAGGAAGGACTAGTGGACGAACAAATGAGGTAGTACATGGATAAGAATAAAATACTCCATGAAGCTCAACACGGGTTTCGGAAAGGCAGGTAGTGTGCATCTAATCTTCTCATTGCATGGGTCAGTTGGACCGTAAAGTACCGGTGCATGTAATATTTCTCGACTTTGCAAAAGCCTTTGACACAGTACCCCATGCACGCCTATTCGAAAAGGTTGTGGAAACAGGCTTCACTGACCCACTGCTATCTTGACTCGGAAACTACCTCGAGAATAGAAAGTTTCGCACAAAGGTATACAGAGTGCACGCGAGTTGGCGAGTATCCACATTGAGGGTTTCACAGGGGACCATCCCAGACCCACTACTCTTCCTGATATTTATTAACGACCTGTTAGGCTCAGTTAGCTCACCGGCATTGATCTACGCAGACAATGCGAAGATCTGGAGGTCCATTAGAAGCGAAGAGGATTCGACTGAGCTTCGAAAGGACCTTACATATATTGAGAAATTGGCAGTGAAAAACGGTTTGAAACTCAACCAACCGAAGTGCCACGTCATGCATATTCTGCATCATATGACGCAAACGACCCATACTCTCAATGAAATTCCGCCCCCTAATTTCTCCTCAGAGTGAGATCTCGGTTTAGTAACCACAGAAAGCCCCCACACCAGTCCACATTATGTATGGGACGCAGCCAATGCAAATGCGACTCTTCACTTTATGCGACGTCAACTTGGTGCTTTTACCCCACAATTACTCTTGACCGGTATTTAAGACGTACGCGCGCCCACACCTGGAGGTTCACAATGTCATCGCACCCCCTCTGCCTAAATGAGAAATAAATCTCTTGGATTAGCATTGAAACTTTATCCTTATAATCCTTATTACTCTTCATATTGCAAATAGATGATATCCGGTCTGATAACGTGATGGCTGCTGGTTTCCAGAAACTCTACTGCCCTGAAACAAACGTTTTCATTCAGATCCCGAGACATACAAACTCACAACCAACTGACAACTGACTAGAATTAGACATTCGAGTGACTAGACCTCCATCCTATGAAAATTACCGAACACCTGAAACTGTACCGAAAGAACAAGAATCGTGCGCGAAGAAATCAAATTGGTTTACACTAGCTCGTGAAAAACATATTGGATATTGGATATTGAATTGAATTGAATATCAGTGGTGCTCTGTTTGAATTTGGTTGTACTCATCGTTAACCCACTTTTTCGACGGTCTAGTATATTTAAGTTATCAACTCCTTGTTTCACTTTCCGGACACATTGAATCTAAAGCTTGAAAGAACACTGATTTTTTCTCATAATCTTAATAAATGTAAGTGAGTTTCGTGCTCCTGCCTTTTCGTTACTCAAATCTAATTACTCTTACGTCACTCTGCATGGTTCTGTAGAACATTAGTTACCTTATGTATAAACGCGAACCACTCCACGCTCTAAAGCGCTTCTCACTCAAACGACTTGTACGACAAGTACCTTGGCCCAACCCTAAGGGCAAGCATACATTGTTTTCCCCAGGGTATCTGACTCTAGATCAGTCCGCGCATTTCGGTTCATAGATGTTAATTCAGCGTAAATTTATGCAATGGGTCGTACATTCATCGGCCTTAGAAAACAGGCGATTAGCTGACACTTCCATATTCTCACTATGAAGAGTGAGTATATCGCACTGTTTTCCAAACAGTATGGGAAAATACGTCTTATACATGTCCCCCTTTTTTAGTCGCTCCAAACTTTGTCATTTGTTGCTTTTATTGTAACCTATTTAAAAAATGTCAACTGTTAGCTGCGTTGGAAGTGACTAGAATATAGAGAAAATTGGAAGTATTTCTCATAGCTTACTCAGCTAACCGGACTTTCTATGCCCCTCTCAAAGACAGTATATAGAATAAGGACAGCCCAACGTCTTATTTACTTCGTTATGCATCAGTGGTTCAATAAGTCCACGTATCTTTAACCTGTGTGGGAAACAATAACACTCTATAGGTTGTATTACTACCCTTAGTCATCGGTAAGTGTTGTTGTGATTAATAGGACTAACATTCGTTACTTATTTTCAATCAATTTGTCCTCAATCTCCTAGTAACCTTTGCGGACTCTCAAAGTTCACCTTCATTCAAACATGTTTTTGATGAGTTTTTTATAATGCTCACCACGAAATCTGTGACCTAAGTTTCATAACAAATAAAATCTCGTTTCAAGTTGTAAACAGAGTTTGGTGTTATCTGCATTTCATCAGTGCTATGACAATGTATACAAACTTTATTCGTATACATTACCTTAATAATCTTGCTATTTATGCACCTATGTGATCCATACAGTCAGGTGCGTTGTTAAATATTTTCACACGATCTAGTTAGCGAATTCATTTTAATCGTCACATATTAGCTTGTACATGGACAGGTTACATTTTTAAAGCGTCTAGTTTTCTTATATTTTACTTTTGTTTCAAACAAAGCCTATCTGATACTGAATGTTTTATCAACTCTTACAGGTCTGGTATTAGCAGACGTTCCTATCTTTATAATTCTACGTTCAGTAATTTACTTATTAATTCCGTCCTAATTCAATTTTGGATTATTTTCTGAAGAAATAAAATGACTGGGTATGTTCATTTATTATTTTTCGAAAGCTTCATTATAAAACAAGCCTTCATGTTGGAGTTTCTTGTTTAACCCTTGATAAAACTGACGTTTTGTCATATTTCCTCTCATTCGTATCCTCGTAAATAGAATTCGGTGGGAAAATAGAGAAGTTTTTTAAAGGTTGTCGATTATATACGTCTGCTTTGAGTTATTATACCAATTGTTAAGGTGTATTGAAATCGAGCAAATAGTTATTTGGCAAGGCTGTCGCTCAGTAGTGCCTAAAATAAACATATTAACTAACGTCATTCATCATACTTTCTGTATATGAATTTATTACTAGCTCGTTCTATGAAGTGTACATTTCACATTTGTTCAACAAGTTCTCCGTGCTAGATATTAAAGTTGTGGTGGTATATTCATTTAATCCTCAAGTTTAATCCTTTTAAACTATAACCCAATCTGTCTTAATTAGATGTACTTGCCTCACAGCACTCATGTGCTCGAGTAGATATTAAGATAATTTCAGGTCTCTGTTGTACTAGAAATTAGCATAATTTCTCTATCTTTTAAATTTCATTATTACTTGTCTTCTATAATCCGATAAACATTGTTTACGTTCTGTCTCTTTCATTTATTTTAAAATTGTTACTTATAGCTAATATATGCCACTCCATCAGGGTTGTCCACTTTCTCCATTCTCATTTAAATTCGTCACTAGCATACTTTTAGAGACGACACTTGCATCGTCTAACTTTTCAGCAGTTGAACTTGTACAGGGAGACCCACTTATTGACTTATAATATGCCGATGACGTAGTTCTGTTTGGTGAAGACGCTGATAAGACGCAGTCTTCTGATCACCTTAAGTAACAATTCAAGCATGGTTGGTGTGTGGTTGCTTCTTTGAAATGTAAAGTGTTCCTTCAGGAATGGGTTGCATCTGCACCCGAACTAGTAATAGGGAGTGAAGTGGCGGAACGTGTCAACCGCCCCACTCATCGGCCATCTCATTCGTTCTCTAACCATCGGTTACTACCGTCACTCCGACCCCAATCAGTTAGTCTGCGTCTATTGACATGTCTCAGTCCACTTGTCAATGACTTCCATGGATTTATGCCGTGTTTTAAGTTTGCCATCCGTAGCTTTCTCTAGCCTACGCCTACATCATCGCTGGCAGAGGCAGTTGGTGATTGAGCACATGTCCTAATCATCTCAATTGATGAAGATTCACTACTTCACCACTTAATCTGCCATCCTTATCTAGTACACAGGATATACGAGCAAAGCTTTGAGGACAACTATGATCAAATACTAGTGACCTACGAATATCTTCTAATCTTAGTGGCCATGTTTCACACCCGTATAGTAGGACGGAGAAAAATGCTACGCAGTAGACTCGTCCTTTGGTTAATAAACGAACACCTCATCTACGTCATAAGTGAAGCAAGTCGGCGAAAGCTAATCGAACTCTTTTTATCCGTGCTGAGATTTCGTCACTTATCAGGCCATCGGCACTGATGAGACTCTAAAGATGAGTGAGGCTATCAACTGCTGCACTCCCTATCACTAGTTCACGTGCCGATGCATACCAATCCTGAATCAATATTTCTCATTTTGAGGGGGAGAATGACACATCGACCATGCTTGCATTGTTGCGTAAGGTGGTCAGAAGACTTCATTTTGTCAGCATTTTCGCCTAGTAGAACTATGTCATCGGCATATTCTAAGTCAACAAGTGAATCTCCTGGTACAAGTTCAACTTCTGAAAAGTTAGACAATACAAGTGTCGTCTCTAAAAGCGCATCGACGATGAATTTAAATAAGAATGGGAATATTGGACAGCCCTGATAAAAAACAGTAGTAGTTATCGATTCCGATGACAGTTTGAAATAAGCTCTGACCGGACCAGTAGTGTTTGAAAAGAGAACCTGTTTAGGGTTAATGCACTTCTTTGTTGCTCGTCTAAATTGATTTCAGGTATATTTTATTGACAGTATCTGTAATGTCTCTTATCTATTAAATGTTTGATTTTTTTGTTTTAGATATTAATGATTACATGGACCAAACAGATGAATTAATCAGTCATGAAGCAAAAGAATTTTATGATGAAATCCGTGGACTAGTTGTTGTCTTTTTGCTATTCGCAATCCTTTTCTTTATTGCTCATATCACACTACAGTATTTTCTAATAAGAACGGAATATGAATTGAAGCCATATCGAAGTGAACGTTTAACTTACCAACTAGTTCTGGGTATTTGTACATTTACACTGACAATAGGCCTAACTTCATGCAGCCTATTACCATTTACTATTATCTCTAATGAGATTCTAATTATTTTTCCACAATCATACTATGTACAATGGTTAAATGGGGAGTTAATACAAGATTTGATACTGTTAATCAATATCGGGTGTAAAATATCCTATTTAACCATACCATTCTCTTATTTTCTGTTAAATTCCCAGGGATTTCTTCATAAATCACATTCCTTGACACCACGCTTAGTTTACTCTTTTACAATGGTCTTATTCTTCTACATTTTGTGTTTTGGTACGTCATGGTCATTGACAAGTTTTGTATCGGCGTTAAATTATTATTTTTTATCAGATGTATTACCTGCTAGTGATAAAAACTTATTTTTTGAATCCCACAATCAGGCTTATTTTTCTGTTAATCTTACTTATCACTTTGATTATTATGAAAATCATCCAGTCTCATTTCTTCTAAATTCTGTAAAATCCGTCGGCTGGATTAGATTTCTCCAGAACATTTTCATCCAGGTAATATTTATGTCAGCTTTAGAAATAATTCAAATGACAGCCTCTTTATTCGGACTATTATTACTATTTATTTGCACTCCAGTGGGTCTACTATCTATTGTCTTAAACCTAATCGCTATTAGTATACATTCTTTGCCCAATATAACACCAAAACAAACATTGCATAATCGTATTGAACAAATGAATTTCGAAGCATTAACTATTCTGGATGACATTAAAACTGTCCAACTTTTATATACTACTAACAGCACGTTAGATAACGAAGATGATTTATTGATTAATAAATCAATCTGCTTTCGGAATTACACCGATGTCAAGTCAAAAGAAGAGTTATTATTCAAGTATACAAACGAGTTGGATATGTTAAATTTAGAAATGTTACAAATCAGGCAGCGTATAAACGCACGCAAGTTTTTGCGATTCATACGCGAATCTACAAACCTACTATTTTATTTTTTCTGTTTAGTTTTGCTTTTTGTTCTGTTGCATTTATTGGAATCATTTGTATTCTTCAATATTATTGATCTTTTATGGAGTATGATTTTTGGCAATTATGGTAGTAAGGATATCGATAATCCTTTAGTAACGACAAAGAGCAGAGATTATTCATCGCTTTCAGCTAATTCTGCAGATTACAATTTTGCACTTGGTTTAAAGCCTGTTTCGTCACTTGGACATATTGGAGCTGCTTTTCAGGTAATTTTTTTCATTATTTTCGTATGCCAATGTATGTATGATTAAATGAGATGTGACCAGTTTCAAAAATTTTTAGTTTATCTGCTAATCCATAGGTTTATAATATTTCAAATAACGATTGTATAAACTCCGTTCACATAGATATGACACCTAAACTGTCTTGTTCTTCTTAGTTAACTGAGCGTTTCATCATATTTCTTTTGGGAAGAAATTGACAGCCCATCACAAATGCAGTCTTTGCACATAACATCGGTCATCGTCAAACTGTGGCTGTAATCTTAAGATAACTCGTACCTGTTATGTTATTTCGATTCAGTTTATTATTGCTCTGTTAATTTTATACTATTAGTTATTCAAACGGTAAATAATTGTGCGCGTGCATGCTTTTTTATAATGTCTTGTAACCATATTTGGAGTTTCAGTCAGTCAGTCACATGCAACGTAGAACTTGGTACGTAAGTACATCAGTTCATGTTGCCATACCACATTAGCACAGAGATATAATTGTCAATTCAAATCCAATAGTAGAAGAGGTAGTAAAGGTATTAGAAGTAATCGGAGTGGTTAGGATTAGAAGATATTATTCAAGAAGTATGATTTAGTGAGCAAAGTTTAGAAAGTCAAAACTAGAGGTGTTGAAGAATCCAGAAGATTAGGATTTGAGAGAACACAAAGAATAAATGCACCGGCGCCATTGCAAATGGTTTTGAGCCATGTCATTCAGGGAGTTTGAATTAGGCTGGATACTGAATACAAGGATCGAACATGCTAGTTGATGTAGATGACCGTTTTCCAGTCATCTTTAGGGCTTGAATAATAAACCAGTTAGGATATAGACTTCTACGGATATCTACGAGTAATTTTTTGGTTTAATTACATAATTTAAGAGGACTTGTTTCGCTCCCGAAATATCGGTATTCACGCCTTTGGTATATAGGTATTTAGAATACCTTAGTGCGCTAACGGATTGTTTGATCATGTTTATGTAATTTGTCTTAAATTTAACATACACGTTCAATGTCTTCAACCGGATTTAAAATCCACCATATGTCACACAACCTGTGTCTCAGTCATTCAAGCGGAAGTTTAAGCTCTTGTGGGACATCTATTAGGTTTGTAAATCCGAGTTTTCTGGTTAGTTTTTATTAACGAAAATGTCCTCATGGAAAGAAAAAAATTAACCGACACTTGTATTATTCTATCGCTAACTTTTGTATGCACAGCAGACATCGTAATGAAACGTCTTTTTTCACATTTAGTACTCATGTTTTGCCGTAGTGTTTTGAAATGTTTTCAACACACGCACGCTGTAAACAGACATGAAGATTTTTTTTGTTTTTAACCCAAATATTTTTCGATCTAATGTATGTCACTTTGCCGATATTGTGTAGTTATTATGGAATATGTCTTTCTACATCTTTGGAAATGATTTGAAAGTGATAAATTCTAATCCTTTCAAAACTGGCTGCTTTAGCGTGAAAACCAGGAGCAGAAAATATCGATTTGACTACTGGACAATATAAATAAATACTTATGCATCTCTTAGAAACGAAATGATGTGCATTGGTCCTATAGGACATTTTTTAATGATCATTAAATGGCTTTTTCAGTAGATCACTTTTGATTGACCCAGTATGCCATAAACAACATTCAAGTTTACTACCTTTTGTTTATCGTGTTCCCAATTAATTGTTTATTCTCTTTCTAGGTATGCCTGGTGCTGTTCCTTCTTGTGTTAAGTTTGTGGGGGTTTTACTCGCTCCCATGTACTCGTTTCCTTCGACCAAAATCTCACGCTACAAGTTTGGATATTATGTTGGCGAACATTTTGTTGTTTTTAATGCTAAGTGCTGCACTTCCGCTGCAAACCAATCTGCTAGGATTAACAACACTCACTTTACCCAGTCCACTCAAAGCTGAAGCTGTCATGTCACCTACATATTCAGAAAATTCAGATCTTGTTTGCGACTCTTCACAATACCGATTTATTTGTGATGAAAACACTTTCAACTGTCCAACTACGAAATCGAGCAAAAAATCTTGCAACCGGTGGACAAAACTGATTAGTGACACATACTTTGACCCATTTAGATGGCTTAGCTTTATCCATTTAGTCAATCCACTAAGCTCTTCATCTACGAACAGTCTAGATGAACTAACAGAAACCCATCCAATTCAAACAGGAAAGCAATCGGTTTTCCATCAATTCATTTTTCGTGCTTTCGGCTATCCATCCGTATCACCTAGTTATGGGCTTGGTTTAGTTATATTAACGTATAATATTTGTTTCCTGCTTTCTTCCATGTGGATTGCTGGCCGACGGTTAACAGACGCTACGTTTTCAATCAGTTTAGATGTGGTAACAACTATTCGGTGTTTGCATCAATTGGATATCACATTTAAACCTAGATCACACTTGGAACATACGGAATGGCTAAATGAACTACCTAGTACCAATGGTTCAGAGGAACTTGATCGTCGTATTTATTCATCATAGTCGATTTATGACTGTCCACGGTTCTGTTTATTGTGTATTTATGTACACGACTAGCGTAAATGTTTGTAATATTTTCGTTGATGTTTTACTGCATTTTCCATTTATTTTGTTATTTTATTGATAAACTAGTCGATTATACAAATATATATACATATTCAGGTGAATAAACCCTTGTTATTGCCTGTAATTTGAAATGATCTCTTAGTTCGAGTATATACTGATTTGTCTAATTTTGTTTCAATACTATGTATGACAGCAATTAGTTCTTCTGTTTTGAAAAACCATATACTATTCGGTTTTCTTTCTTATTTTTCGGTTTTTGTCTTTTCTCACTTTCGATAATCTTTTTTCATGAACGATAGTTCATCTTAATTATGGTCAGAATTTTATTTTTCATATAAATACACTGTAAATTAATTAATCGTCATTGATAATTGGTATTATCATTTTTTCTTAAAAAAAATTAGGATACTCTGATGAGTGAATGATATATATCTGGTTACTTTTAGTTTTACATACTTAGAAAAAGAAATAAACGGAAGATATATCCATGTCAGTAGAGTTATCCTCGTCATCATCATCATCAAGGGTGACGTAGAACTTTGCACGTAAGTACAGCAGTTCAAGTTGCCATGCCACATTAGCACAGAGATATAATTGTCACTTCAAATCCCATAGTAGTAGAGATAGTAAGAGTATTAGAAGTAATCGGAGAGATTAGGATTCGAAGATGTTATTTAAGAAGTATAATTCAATGAGGTAAATTTAGAAAGATAAAGGTGATGAGGAATTCAGGAGGTTAAAATTTCGTAAAACACAGCACTTGCGCCATTGCAAACGGTTTTGAGCCATGTCACTAAGGGTTTCCAACCATCGATTATTATCATCTCACGGACCCCGACCAGGTTATCCTCGATTATCGATCCGATTATAATGGAGACATGAAAAAAGTACTTTGGATTAAATTCTCTGCTGCGTCTATCGTTTGATAAATATCAAAGTTAGCTAGCATACACTTCTTAGCCTAAATCGTGTTCAGTTGGCCTGGTATACGAGAAAAAGTTAAGACAACTTCCATGAATAAGCTGTTATCATATACCCTCATAGTTGTTTGCCAACTAAGCAATCGAAATGTTAGGTTGTTAGCTGGTTTCTGGCTAATATTCATACTAATTTGGTACCTGGGCAGTTCTTCTATGAAAGTAGAGACATGTTTTTGCTCGATCATAAGTCTTCACATGCCAGCTATTGTCGTCTGATATTCTTGATTTTCAGTGCAATAATCTTGAGAATCAATTTAAATTAAGCACATAGTATATGATTAAAATCATGTCATCAAACATACAATCAAGTTTTTCAAATAATTTTATGTCAAGTAATTTTGTTTTACTCGTTTCGGTTTGTAGCGTAATCGGATTATGCTAGTGGAATTAGTGTGATTTTTTTGCTTATGCAATGTAGTACATTGTTGCATTTTGTGTAGGCTATAATTGATTAATTGCAATTCTAAACAGTAATTATGATCAAAATGATAACTGATCATCATTTTATTATCAATATAGATAGATTGAAAAGTGCATGTTGTTCTCATTTTGACTTCTTATCAATAATATTTCTTCAAGCAATTATTCATGAATATTTGTTAAATACTTCATTGTAAAACGTTTAAAACTTCTAGTTTATAATATGATTAGTTTGTGATTGCCTAGTCTCAAATAAAAGGACAAATTATAGATGTCAGACTCGTCACCTGATATGCTTGAAACTATTACGGGTTCGCCTTAGTTGATAAACGAGAACGAGACAATGAACCAGCGTCCAGGTAGACTACCCTGATCCGATGACTAACCAAAAGTCTTGTTATAGCATAGAAAGTATATTCTACAAACACCCAGCAAACACAATGAATTCAAGCACACAAACTGAGTTTATTTTATACATCATAGAAACATCCTTCGTACAGTCACTAAAATACACAGCCAAAGGTTTTTACTGGTGGGAAATGCGATCTCAAGGTCAACTGATCAACTCATGCTCGGAAACATAAAATCCAAAATTAAAGCATTGATCAAACGAGTTCTGGGGATCTAACGTCCTCAACAATAGATCAATGGTTTATACAAAGCCTACTAGCCATTTCTCCAATATTTATTGTTCTCTCTATGTTAAAGTTCAAAATTACTGTTCTATTTGTCTGATAAGCATTTATTTTTTGAATGACATTTTCATAAATTATACAATACAATACATATTTGATTAATGATATCAATTATCTTAGGATACATGTTCATAAAATATTCATCAGATCTCGTTATGAAACTGCTGATATTTTAAGGTATTAAGAATTTCATCTTTATATATCTTGTATAAGAAAGTAATGTGAAAATTTCCAGAATATCTCATAATATCACTTGGTTGCTTACTAGAAATAAGTTCACAATTATGAAATAACGTTCAACTTTTTTTTAATAGGATAACATAGATCCATGTTATTCGTTTAAACATGAATAATAAAGCAGTATTGGCGAATAAGATAATGAAAAAAAAACGATTCTCTGACAGAAATCGAAGTTGTTCATTATGATTACATTTCATAGTTTGATGCTCACTGACAGCTTTGTATTAATCTTTAATAAATAGGCCTGTAATTGGTGTAAAACTTAATACTTCTGAAAATGTATTCAAAGCTTTATTTTTATTAGTCATGTTATACAAATAGCAGACTTTTGGTGCTTTGCTTCGTGAAGAAGAATGTTGGATTGTTTAATTTAAAATGATTATTGTTTCTCTGAAAATGAATAGAACATAAGTGTTCATCAGCTTTTTAAAAGTTTTAATTATTAGATTTAAACAAAATGAAATGTGAATTTTCGTAATATTATGTCCAACAAATACACAACTATTTCAAGTGTTATTGTCTTTTGTTCACTTCTTAATGAGTTTGTAGATGTCTACTGCTGAGGAATGCCAAACTAGATCCTGAAAATCGTCTAGTTCTTGAAGGTGAATTCAGTTGTTGATAAAAAAGCCATGTAAAAAATAAAGTAATAGATTTCAACTTGAGGAACTTTTAGTGGTGAGAGATACCAGATTGACTATAATCACCACTAAATGTTCCATACCATCCTGTCATTCAAACCAAAATAAATCCATGTCTTAATATTTTGTTGAAGGAGAAAGTAGGCATTACATAGGGAGCAGCGCGTTTGGAAAAATGGCAGCAACACGAAAAGAACGTTGCACGCAAGAAGTGTTTTTGGTACAGTTAAACAAAAACGAATACAATAATGTATGTTTTTCACAAATCATATTTTCTTCGTAGAGGCGTTCCACTACAAACTACATAGTTTATCGGATTTAAAATATGTATCAAGCTTGAATGTTTATGAAATATAATATCAGCCTATAATATAGTGTAATACTTAATATTTTAGTAAAAATACCATAACTCGTATCTTGTGAATTTACCCATTCAGTCTTCAAAAAGATAAAACTTTATTCATATTCGTTTTAGACTTAAGTTCTCATTCCCTTGTTTAATTTTAAAGAAAGTGACACTGAAATCGATCGTATAAATACAGCCTATAATTATTAATTCATGAGTTATAGTTCTCTATTAACAATTAATATGATATTTACAAATTAAGCAGCTGTGTTCTTCTGTAAAATGTCGTTTATATTTCCTAAACAATCATGTAGATTCGGTAATGTGTAGAAGTAATTATGGTTCATACTGTAACATCTATATCTAGACTAGATCCGGATTTTGAATCACTTATATACCATTTAATCGATTGTGTGTACAAATTGTTAACAATGTTAATCATTCCTACTTTTAAGACTTTCGTCGCCAACCTTACGGTAGAAGAATGATTCTACTAACAATTCCCAAAACTGGTCTGGTTAATAAAAGTTCTTCACTATTTTTTAATCACATGGTAAGATAAACAAGAATTCAAAATGGTATTTCAATGAAAAGCCAAACAAAAAATCTCACTGACAAAAATTTTTATCAAACTTTATTTGACAATTAATCTAATCACATAAGTTGCAGTTACATGTACACATGAACAAATTAATTATTTTTTTATGCCAATTTTAACAAATTAAGCTTATACTGGTTTGAAATTCACAAAGTATTTCATCAATATCATATGTATGTCACTTTCAATCATCGTAAATATTCTGTGTACATTTGTTTGAAAAAATATCGTATGACATTGTTTAATAAAACAAGAAACTTCAAAAAATTACTTTCTAAGTTTCTTGACGAATTTAAAAATCTATCTGTAAACCTCTTGTTAAACCAATCAAACGAAAAAAGAAACTAACTGTACTTAAAGATCATTCACAAAAATTTGAACATAGATTCTGATCCGAATACGTGTACAGACTACAATGCCTTATTTATATAATTTGTATCATGTAAACTACGCGTTTTTTGAAGAAAAAAACGCTGAAGGTGGATAAGACAAACATTTAGGAAAGCACTCAGTCGCATCACGAGGCAAGACGTAACTTGGAACCCTCAAGGCCTAAAGAAAAGAGGAAGACCAAAAAATACATTACGTCGAAAATATGGAGCAGACACGAAAAGAATGAACAGCAGTTGGGTGGAAGTCGAAAGGAAGGTTTAGGACAGAGTGGGTTGGACAAATCTGGTCAGCAAACTATGCTCCATTAGGGGAAACAGGTGTAAGTAGGTAAACAACGTGATTTCTGGGCAGAAAAGTTTTGATTTTAGGGTATAAAATGATGGCACACCTAATTTGTAAGCCACTTCCTATGAGTTATGTTTTGATAGTGACTAATAGTAGAATCTATTGTAAGCATTTTGTCATATTTGAGACTGGTAAAATAGATGTGCGGGAAAGCCCATTGTTCATATCTAAATTCAGACGTTCTCTGAGCTCAGAGAACGAAACACCACCACAATCATCCACCTGAGCTACAAGTTTTCTCCACCATCTCACTGCTGATTATTGGTAGGATAATATATTTGTGATATCCCAGTATGTAGAAATCTAAATTTCTGACGTTTTAGAAGTCTCAGGAATTCAAATTTCTGATCATTTAGATATTAAATATATTTTATTATTAACATTCTTCACAATACTCAACTTATTTGAAATCTTCAAGTTCAAGCCTGATATTGTATTTATCATAGCAGTTTGATTTTATTGATATTCACAATCAAAATAACCAGCTTAATATTTAACATATATAACTGAAACAAGGTAGTGATATGTCAGGCAAAGATGGAGAGGAAACATGGGTGTTTCGATGACAGACAATTCAAATTTTCACTTGAAAATCAGATGGTCAATAACCTGCTTGTATTGCAATTGGATTTTTGAAGATTATTTGTCCACTGCTTCAAGTTAACTAATCATAATAGCACAGGGAATTATCAAGGCACATTGCAGGGTAATATAAGTGGTAAGAAGGTCAGCTGTCAGAGTAAAGATAAGGTAGAGAAAATGAAAACAATATGTTTTAGGATCTCAGGACTCAAATTCCAAAACAAGACAAGAAGTTATTAAACTTGCCACTTTGCAAACGAGGTCAGAAGACTATCTTGGTTACTCGGAAGTATTTATTTTTATTGTCTATAAATAATCTAAGTGTGGTCCAACAATAAATCGTAACTTAATTACATTTAAGTTTACACTGAAGGTGAAAAAACGACAACAATAATAGTCAATCGTAAAACAACCGAACGTAAAAATGATTGGATCATAATCGCTATCTATGAAAAATATGTTCCAACCAATAGGAATATAGTCAATTTATTGATAATTAACTCAACCAATAAGGTTCAGGAAAAGGAGATGAACCTTAACTACCAATAAGTAATAGCCATAAACAAGAATTGTACACGAAGCCCCTTGCCATTTTCTACAGCAACCAGGTACCCTAAAAAAAAAAATGTGGCTCAGTGTAATAGTCAACAACTCGATGAACTAATCCCAGGTCTTTGTTTGATCGCCTCTAGCTTTCTTAAAAACTACACCTACACCAGACTTCACCCACTGAGGTAGGTGACGATTTCACATACGTAGCATGTTCCAGCCAATTCAGGCGATAAAGTTTCACCAATAACCTCGTCAACCGACTTGCCATATTTACGTGATACCCTGTACTTAAACCCTTACTCGGTCGTCCCATTAGGCACAAACGTCATCTAGGAGAAACGATGCATCAACACCAACAAAAAACTTTCAAATCTATGAGATCTAAGATTATGAGTATCGCTGTGATTAATTCAATAATAGAATTAAAATCTAGTTTTTAGCTTTTATTTCAAAATGATGAGGCAATGCTACACTTTTTTGGATTATAGAGCGTGGAAAAGAATTACTACGTACACAATCATTTTGACACGCTATGTTTATTTGCAATTTCGATTGTTTTCATCAAAAAAGAGTAAGAAATATAAATAGACATTGTAAGTACAGTGGAAAATAAGTAGGCTTGTTGAACAGAAAAAATGAATTATGAACAAAATTACAAGTAACTCTTGAAATGTTTTCAAGTTTTACTCAATATTATCAAGAAAATTATTTTAATTCACACTCAAATACACAACACTTTTAAAGTGTTATTGATTTAAGCTATTCCATCTAAAAATAATATAGGAATGAATCCTGTCTAGGTTTGAGTGTTTTCTATTTCTAAACTATACACAAAAGTCAATCAATCAGTTACAAAATTTACAAATCTCTTTATAGTAAAAGTGTGATTTATTGTAATTCAAACAAATATCTGGCAAAATCCCAAGTGTTACGGATAATTTAGGTTGGAATCACTAGTTTTAATAATATTTTACAATTGAAATTGAATTAGTGTTCACATATATCCAACACAGAAGAAATAAACAAAATTATTGTTTATATTTTTCTCTAAACAGAAAGTAATCAAAAAAATGTAGCGTGCATATACAATGATTATTACAAAAATAAATATTACAAGAACCAACAGTAAATTTGTGCACTGTGTCAAAAAAGTAGTATAGCAAAAAATAAATTAACAAGTTATAAGCAACAAATAATATAAAGACTATAATTGAAGGCAAGTTGTGTCATATGTTTTATACGTCCACTTCATGAATATAGTAACACCAGAAAATGCATAGATTATTCACTGTAACTGTACACCCGATTTGTATGCCTGACATAAAAAAAACAGAAAACAAATAGGTAAAAAGATCAGTTGAGATCACAAAACGAAACAATTATCGAAGTAAGGCTTATCATTGCTGCCGAACTTGAACACAATAATTACTTAATTGACATTTCCTTTACTAGTTCAACCATTACCGCAAATTTAAAAGGATAAACTGACAGTCAGTCATTCAGGTACTACGTAGAACTTCGTGTATACGTACATCAGTTTAAGTTGCCATATCACATTAGCACAGAGGCGTAGTTATCAATTCAAATCCCATAGTAGTAGAGGTAGTAGAAGTATTAGCGGAAATAAACAAGATTAAGGTCCGAAGATATTATTCAAGAAGTATCATTCAGTGAGATAACTTTGGAGACAGAAAGATATAGATGATGAGGAATTCGGAAGATTGGGATTAGTGAGAAGCCAAAGAATGGATGCACATGCACCAACGTAAATGGTTTCGTGCCATGTCATTCAAGGTCTCTAACTATCGGTTACACTATCCTCTCGGAGACCCCAACCACGTAGACCACACTTACCAACATGACTCAATCCAGTTGTCAGTGACTTCATGGATCTGTGCCATGTTTTTGTCTGGCCGCTCCAAGCTTTCTTGCAACCTGTTCCTACACCACAAAACAAAGCTCGTCAACGCAGTCGGGGGTTGGACATTCGTAACGCACGCCCCAACCACCTCAACTGATGAAGTTTCATCACTTCATCTACTGGTTTGCTATCCCTTCCTAGTACTCGTTTACTAACGACAGCACTGCTTACTCGGTTGTCCTACGATACTCGGGCAATGCTTCGAAGACACGTATGACCGAAAACCAGTAACCTTCGAATATCCTCAACGCTTACCGACCATGTTTCCCACCCGTATGGTAGGACGGAGCGAAATGCTGCGCAGTACACACATCCTTTGGCTGGCAGACGGATATATCGCTTACACTATAAACGACGCAAGTTGGCAAGATTCAATCGAACCCTCTGCATCCTTACTGAGACTTCATGAGACATCAGACTACCAGCAATGATGAGACACTCCCAAGATAATGGAAGCGGTCAACACGCTCGCTCATTTTACTCTCTATCACTAGTTTAGGTCCCGATGCAAGCCAACCTTGAAGCAACATTTTTCATATCGATGAGAAGAATCGCATCGCCAACATGCTTGCATTGTTACTTAAGGTGATCAAAAAACTCTGAATTCTGTCAGTCTTCACCAAAAAAACGTAGTCATCGATATATTCTAAGTCTACCTTACCGGTTGATATCCCTACTGTTTCTACAGCTTTCTGGATATCGTTTCAAGCTACCTTAAGGTGGGCATCATGTTCACGGTCGTCGAACTGTTTTTTTCGAGTTGATCCTGGAATATACTCTTGGTTTATTTATAATTAATTAGGACTGTAAAATGCATATCTTTGTGTCCATTAAGCCGCAGACAGACAAGCGTTCGTACAAGAGCATGATCTGAATCTAAACATGTGATCCAGGATAAGCGGCAGTTTTCCGTCCAACATCTTCATTGGTGGCCGATGGAGATGTGGTCTAGTTAGGCTCAGCGTTGAGTTGACTTTGGGGTCTCCGTGTCTAAAGGTGTTTTTCTTCATGCTTAAAGTGCGTATTCACCAGAAACAGGCAGTTATCTGAGTATGGTTGCAGAGTTATCTGTTCTCGGAGCAGCGACATCATAAGATCCATCCACGTATCCTTCAGTTTCACTTAGTTTAACTACTTGGGCATTAAAGTTACCAGCCATTATTACTACATCAGAGCGCTCAACCTTTTGGAGAAGGTAGGTAAGCTTTCTGTAAAACTCATCTTTTACCAAATCCGACCTGCAGTCAGTCAGTCAGTCAGTCAGTCAGATGCAACGTAGAACTTCGTATGTAAGTACATCAGTTCATGTTTCCATACCACATTAGCACAGAGATATAATTATCAATTCAAATCCAATAGTAGAAGAGGTAGTAAAGGTATTAGAAGTAATCGGAGAGGTTAGGATTAGAAGATATTATTCAAGAAGTATGATTTAGTGAGAGAAGTTTAGAAAGTCAAAAGTAGAGGGGTTGAAGAATCCAGAAGATTAGGATTTGAGAGAACACAAAGAATAAATGCACCGGCGCCATTGCGAACGATTTCGAGCCATGTCATTCAAGGTCTCTAACCATCGATTATTATCATCTCGCGGACCCCAACCAGGTAGTCGACAATTACCAACATGGCTAAGTCCACTCGTCAATGACTTCATGGATTTCTCCCATGTTTTGGTCTGGCCGCCCCTAGCTCTCTTCCAACCTACTCCTACACTATAAAACAAAGCTCTTCAAGGCAGTCGGTGGTTAGGCATACGCAACACATGTCCCAACCACCTCAACTGATGAAGTTTCACCACTTCATCGATTGATCTGCCATCCTTACCAAGTACTCGTTTCCTAACGACAGCATTGCTTACTCGGTTGTCCCACGGTATACGAGCAATGCTTCGAAGACACCGATGATCGAAAATCAGTAACCTACGGATATCTTCTACTCTCAGTGGAAGAGACTGTGAAGAAGCAATGGCGAGTGTCCCTGTCTTTCCGAGTTCGTACTTTCTCGTCTAGTCGGACACTGTACAAGTGACTATCTACCGGAAGCCAGTCCAGGAGAGCTAGTTTTGATTTTGAACTCAATGCTATGCCCACACCAGCGAGGCAACAGGAAGTAACAGTTCAGTCTCCAGATACATGAGGCATAAATCCAGACGGTTCTTTATGTTGAAAAGTTGACGTCAAACGAATGACAGTATTCGAATGCATCAATGACGCGTGATTGTACATTCACAGCCACGAAAGTCTGCTTTCCTATCTGACACAACGTATGAACATTAAAAGCTACATGTTATTTAGAGAGCGGCTTCAAGACACCAGATATAACATTCCGTGTACTCAAATCACTAACATTAGAAGCGCAATGAGTGAACGATCGCATGAGGATAAAAAGCGAGAAAGTGGAGCGGAGAATGCAAGTGGGTCAACTTAATACGACGAGGCATAACTAAGTATTTATATTCAGACAAAAATAAGCTAAACATCTTTTAAGCTAAGTAAGCAATGCATGCACATACTCAAGTAAAAATAACCAAGGTTATGAGCGAACAACAGACAAGGTCAAACGACGTGGATAATGACTCGAAAAAATATATTGATTAGTTTTTCCAGAGGCTAGGACATGACACATTGGCTTGACATATTAGTACCCACGAGAGTCCTCTCGATTTCGTAAACACCCCACCACGAAAAGCTGATGGATATATACGCGTGGCCATATGAAAGCGTTTATGGAAGGAGCAGATGACCCCACTCCTGGCTAAACCACTACATTTAGGGTGGAGTCACAGGAATGCTGGCGATTGAACCGCCACACGAAGTCAATATTCCCATTTTAAAATGCTTTATCTCGCGTGTTCAAATTTACTAATGAGCTAACATCACCAACTATAGGTTTGTGTACCAGTAACCACTACTTAATCGTAGATATCAACAACTTTCAGAGATGGGATACGTATTGAATAATCACAAGATTACAATTATATTCTTTAGCTTAATGTTTCATGCTATTTAACAGCCATTGTACCTTTAAAGGATGCCTGACAGTTCAGTCGTAAATGGTGTAATACTTAACTTTTTATTACATAACTTCTATAAAACTAAACGTACTAATGCTCACATATTGGGCATTTCAGCCGCTGCTTTACCTTTTACTCCCATCAATTTTACGGGAAGCATCTAAGCCACATATTTCTAGTTGGTTAACTTCGATAGAACGCACGTTTATGTTATATGTAATTTTTTATAAGTACCATTTGGGCATGATGGAGCACTAAAGTAATGCTAAAGAGGTATGTAGTAGAGTACTAAATATAGTTATTGAATAAACCTTTAGGGTTTTGAATCGGTAAATGCCCTCTACTCTAAGCTACGGCGTCAATAAAAAAATCAAGTAACACATGAGACGCTAACCTAAACTGAAATAATTAATGAAAGTTCAACTTACTAAAATAAAAACTATAGTATATTTTTTCTATCCTTTGACATCTGAATCGATATCCATGCATGAAATGTTATTAAATGTAGGAGAAAAGGTGGGGAACATAGTAGGAGAATCGAGCATTTGACTAGTTGGTAATACTTTAGTGTCCGAATTTTCTTCGTTTGGTGTTTGATCTGAAGAATCAGGAGGAAGTAAACCTTTAAGGCGATCAGGATTAAACGGCACTATCGCGAGTGATGGTTCGGGTGAAAGTCTGAAAAATTGCATAGTTTTAATCAAGAAAAAGTGTTACAAGAATAATGAAATTTATCTCCAGTAAAAAAAGTAATAAACTATGAGTAAACCACTTAAAAAAACTGTTTCTACATAAGGCTACATATTACACAATAGAGGTCAACAAGAAACGGAATGTTTATGAAATACACCGTAAAAGTTTTCTTTGGTGTTACTTTAAAGACTACGTCAAGAACCGTGTCGGATGCACCTTTATGAGACAATGAATTCACATAACACTAGTGCTTACTTGAGATATAAATGTCCACTATTTACAGCTTTTCTTATGTTTGCTGAGAACAAACATTTATGATTTCTAATCATAACATACAGTACATCAAACCTTAATTACTAATGTTTTCCTGAAGGAATATCAACGGATATAAATTTCTTCTGCAGTTACACATTATAGTGAATGAAGTATCCAGCTACAGTACAAATTATTAACAACTTACGAATTTCTGACTGCAAAAGGTTCTCTTGACCGACAGTAAGAGAGACGATCATATGTTTAGGCTGAAATGGATAGAACAAGTTTTCTTCACATGGAAGTGCCTAATATTTATCCCCCTTTTGAATTAACACATTTTGATACTCCACATCTTTAATTATAATCTTAACTCGTCCAATTTAAGTTTCTCAATTTCTAAGTAACTGTTGAGATTATTAATATTAGATGCAATGAAGCTAGCAATAGAACTGAGGAAGTGAGTTTTGTCTTAGTTAGGACTCGTCCACTGGATGTACTCGCTTCCCAGAGTTGATGTACAATCCGGTACTAGAACACGGTACGCTCTGCTTCAAACTCCACTGCATTATCCACTTAGCTACTGAGTCCAGATAGTCACTTACTTCTGCGATGGGTGTGAATTTCACTTCAGTTTAAAACGGTTCGGATTATCCTGTTGTCCATACTTTGACCGAATTTTGAGTAGTCTCGGCTATCTAGGATTAGAATGTAAGTGGATAAAGCGGTGGAGTTTGAAGTAGACGGTACCGGAATGAATATTAACTTTGAGACACAGATACATCCTGTTGACAACTACCACATAGGATGAAACGCACGTTTTGGGTCTCACTGCTAGCTACATTTCATCTACTCTATTTTAATTTGCATCATAGCGGCTACACTAAAGAATGTACATATTCCAAGACTGATAGGATTTCGGTCATAATATCGATCGGATAATTCAAATCAAATGAAGATGGATTGTTAAAATTATTATTTCTAACTGCAACTTTTTTCAATGTTGATCTAAAGTTTAATAAAACCATATTATATTTTCACTTCCTTGATTAATTTATTTAATTACCATAAAAAGAACAACTATAGACGTAAATGTTTTTGCATGAAGTTTTTTGTCATGGCGAACAATCAATATCAAAACTCACAGTTAATGGTAATATTAAATGAAGGAACTTACAATCCTTTTAGGAACACGTCTGTTGGATTCATTCGTTTAAATCTTAAGTGATCTTTCAAATCATTTGAAAATTGCAAAGGTGATCTGTGAATAAATTTAAAATATATTAGTTGATACCAATAAGAGACGCAAAAATGATATCAGTAATTAGTTTTTTTTCGTACAACTATCAATAGGTAATTATTTCAAATCATTCCTTTTTCAAAAGAATTCGAATATTATCATTACCATAAATCACTTTCGACTCATTCGAAAATTTTATATGTTAAGAGCAAAACAAATATATGATGAAGGGCATTTCTCATTCAAATCACTTAATTTATTGATTTAGCGAACTGGATACAAACATTGCTGATTAACAATTAATTCGATTTATTTCAATTTATTGATTGACCGAAATATATAAAATGATATGTAATTTATTACTAAGCTAAATTTCTTTTAATCAGTGGTTGTTGAATACATTAGTTTGTTTACACTACTGTTTTTATCCTTTTATTGAGATACGTCTCGTTCCACTGTAGCGAGTAAATAATTACATCATACCAATGTCAGTCAGAGCATTAGTAAGCTTTCTGATTTTTATTTACCCTCTAACTTTTTAAAAGTTAAATTTTCAGGTAAATAATTCATTTTCTTTGGATTCTTTTCGTTATTACAAATTATTTCTGATTCGTATAGCCAAGGAGATATGAAGCATCCCCAAAGTCCACAATTCTCATTTATGTCATCCTCATTTGTTGTGTGCTATACCTTTACATCCGTAAGAATCCACTTTCTTCCGGACTTCACAAAACTTCGTCATTCATACCTACAAAAATTATACATTCAGAAAAATAAACTAATCATAAACATTTATTTATATTTACCTATCAGTTTGAGTATCTTCATCAACTTCCTCATCGTCATTAATAGTAATAACACCTGCATTCGTATTAGTGTACAATGACAAGTTCTGATACATTTCATGAGCGGAAGCAATCTGACTAGAATCAAGTGGGAAGTATGACGAACTACCAAAGAGAGGTGTGCCACAATCACTTTTAATTTTGGATGCATCGACCGGTAAGGTTAGATTCAGTTGAGCAAAATGATTTGCCATAGCTGTTTCACAAAGATAATATTTCCGTGGTATTACAGTGTCCGGAATAGGACTTCTAGAGACATTAATAAACAGCAGTAGAAAATAAATTTCGAGATTTTCGTTTAAGACTCTAAAATCTTAAAACTATATTAACAGTTCCAATTAAAATAGGAATTGTCTTAAAATGAATTCATTGCTGGAGTCTTAATATGAATGAGAATAGTTCTGAAAAGATGGGACACCAAAGAAGACGTGTAAAAAATTTCGTATACTCAGTAATATGCATAATTTGACGACTATGCAGGAGAACATTGGGGTTTTCAATACTTCTCATATTAATCTTAATAACACTACTGAATTAAGTATTGAAACAATGTTATGAAGAGCTACTTGACACTCGATATACATATTTTCATTTCACACTTCACATCAACCAACAGACTCTAAACAACGAAAATTATAGGTGGATATCATTGAATACATACTATATCTTGCTTGTGTTTGCACTTACCAAATGCTCAATAAATGTAACTGTATTATCTTTCCGATAACTTATGTATAATTTCTATGTATCCGAGTTGATTGCGTTCATAGGATGACTTGAATTGTTCTCATATAGCATGTTGATATGAAGATTTTCGAGAACAGAAAGATTTATGTAAAAAGAATAAAGATCATATTTGGTGAGGAATAGGGTTCACATGGACTAAATTAGTCTAGGATCGTGAAAACACAAGAGTTGTGATAGATAACCTGTGCGTTTCTCATTATTATTTAACTATCTTTTCTCAAAAATAAAATTTTCCCGCTATTTATGATTATATTCACATACTGTGTTAGCCTGGACAGTTCATTTTTACATCGAAACAAAAGTGTGGAGAAAATGAACAAAGAGACAATAATTAACAAGAAGTAGTTAATACTTACATTCCCACACAGTGAGCCACCCGTGAAACTTCCTCGGCGGCTGATGGTAGCGCTCTACGCACTCCGTTCGTTTGGTGTCGAGCGCCCGGTCACCGGGCGCTCGACACCTAACGAACGGAGTGCCTAGAGCGCTACCATCACCCGCCGAGGAAGTTTCACGGGTGGCTCACTGTGTGGGAATGTAAGTATTAACTACTTCTTGTTAATTATTGTCTCTTTGTTCATTTTCTCCACACTTTTGTTTCGATGTAAAAATGAACTGTCCAGGCTAACACAGTATGTGAATATAATCATAAATAGCGGGAAAATTTTATTTTGAGAAAAGATAGTTAAATAATAATGAGAAACGCACAGGTTATCTATCACAACTCTTGTGTTTTCACGATCCTAGACTAATTTAGTCCATGTGAACCCTATTCCTCACCAAATATGATCTTTATTCTTTTTACATAAATCTTTCTGTTCTCGAAAATCTTCATATCAACATGCTATATGAGAACAATTCAAGTCATCCTATGAACGCAATCAACTCGGATACATAGAAATTATACATAAGTTATCGGAAAGATAATACAGTTACATTTATTGAGCATTTGGTAAGTGCAAACACAAGCAAGATATAGTATGTATTCAATGATATCCACCTATAATTTTCGTTGTTTAGAGTCTGTTGGTTGATGTGAAGTGTGAAATGAAAATATGTATATCGAGTGTCAAGTAGCTCTTCATAACATTGTTTCAATACTTAATTCAGTAGTGTTATTAAGATTAATATGAGAAGTATTGAAAACCCCAATGTTCTCCTGCATAGTCGTCAAATTATGCATATTACTGAGTATACGAAATTTTTTACACGTCTTCTTTGGTGTCCCATCTTTTCAGAACTATTCTCATTCATATTAAGACTCCAGCAATGAATTCATTTTAAGACAATTCCTATTTTAATTGGAACTGTTAATATAGTTTTAAGATTTTAGAGTCTTAAACGAAAATCTCGAAATTTATTTTCTACTGCTGTTTATTAATGTCTCTAGAAGTCCTATTCCGGACACTGTAATACCACGGAAATATTATCTTTGTGAAACAGCTATGGCAAATCATTTTGCTCAACTGAATCTAACCTTACCGGTCGATGCATCCAAAATTAAAGTGATTGTGGCACACCTCTCTTTGGTAGTTCGTCATACTTCCCACTTGATTCTAGTCAGATTGCTTCCGCTCATGAAATGTATCAGAACTTGTCATTGTACACTAATACGAATGCAGGTGTTATTACTATTAATGACGATGAGGAAGTTGATGAAGATACTCAAACTGATAGGTAAATATAAATAAATGTTTATGATTAGTTTATTTTTCTGAATGTATAATTTTTGTAGGTATGAATGACGAAGTTTTGTGAAGTCCGGAAGAAAGTGGATTCTTACGGATGTAAAGGTATAGCACACAACAAATGAGGATGACATAAATGAGAATTGTGGACTTTGGGGATGCTTCATATCTCCTTGGCTATACGAATCAGAAATAATTTGTAATAACGAAAAGAATCCAAAGAAAATGAATTATTTACCTGAAAATTTAACTTTTAAAAAGTTAGAGGGTAAATAAAAATCAGAAAGCTTACTAATGCTCTGACTGACATTGGTATGATGTAATTATTTACTCGCTACAGTGGAACGAGACGTATCTCAATAAAAGGATAAAAACAGTAGTGTAAACAAACTAATGTATTCAACAACCACTGATTAAAAGAAATTTAGCTTAGTAATAAATTACATATCATTTTATATATTTCGGTCAATCAATAAATTGAAATAAATCGAATTAATTGTTAATCAGCAATGTTTGTATCCAGTTCGCTAAATCAATAAATTAAGTGATTTGAATGAGAAATGCCCTTCATCATATATTTGTTTTGCTCTTAACATATAAAATTTTCGAATGAGTCGAAAGTGATTTATGGTAATGATAATATTCGAATTCTTTTGAAAAAGGAATGATTTGAAATAATTACCTATTGATAGTTGTACGAAAAAAAACTAATTACTGATATCATTTTTGCGTCTCTTATTGGTATCAACTAATATATTTTAAATTTATTCACAGATCACCTTTGCAATTTTCAAATGATTTGAAAGATCACTTAAGATTTAAACGAATGAATCCAACAGACGTGTTCCTAAAAGGATTGTAAGTTCCTTCATTTAATATTACCATTAACTGTGAGTTTTGATATTGATTGTTCGCCATGACAAAAAACTTCATGCAAAAACATTTACGTCTATAGTTGTTCTTTTTATGGTAATTAAATAAATTAATCAAGGAAGTGAAAATATAATATGGTTTTATTAAACTTTAGATCAACATTGAAAAAAGTTGCAGTTAGAAATAATAATTTTAACAATCCATCTTCATTTGATTTGAATTATCCGATCGATATTATGACCGAAATCCTATCAGTCTTGGAATATGTACATTCTTTAGTGTAGCCGCTATGATGCAAATTAAAATAGAGTAGATGAAATGTAGCTAGCAGTGAGACCCAAAACGTGCGTTTCATCCTATGTGGTAGTTGTCAACAGGATGTATCTGTGTCTCAAAGTTAATATTCATTCCGGTACCGTCTACTTCAAACTCCACCGCTTTATCCACTTACATTCTAATCCTAGATAGCCGAGACTACTCAAAATTCGGTCAAAGTATGGACAACAGGATAATCCGAACCGTTTTAAACTGAAGTGAAATTCACACCCATCGCAGAAGTAAGTGACTATCTGGACTCAGTAGCTAAGTGGATAATGCAGTGGAGTTTGAAGCAGAGCGTACCGTGTTCTAGTACCGGATTGTACATCAACTCTGGGAAGCGAGTACATCCAGTGGACGAGTCCTAACTAAGACAAAACTCACTTCCTCAGTTCTATTGCTAGCTTCATTGCATCTAATATTAATAATCTCAACAGTTACTTAGAAATTGAGAAACTTAAATTGGACGAGTTAAGATTATAATTAAAGATGTGGAGTATCAAAATGTGTTAATTCAAAAGGGGGATAAATATTAGGCACTTCCATGTGAAGAAAACTTGTTCTATCCATTTCAGCCTAAACATATGATCGTCTCTCTTACTGTCGGTCAAGAGAACCTTTTGCAGTCAGAAATTCGTAAGTTGTTAATAATTTGTACTGTAGCTGGATACTTCATTCACTATAATGTGTAACTGCAGAAGAAATTTATATCCGTTGATATTCCTTCAGGAAAACATTAGTAATTAAGGTTTGATGTACTGTATGTTATGATTAGAAATCATAAATGTTTGTTCTCAGCAAACATAAGAAAAGCTGTAAATAGTGGACATTTATATCTCAAGTAAGCACTAGTGTTATGTGAATTCATTGTCTCATAAAGGTGCATCCGACACGGTTCTTGACGTAGTCTTTAAAGTAACACCAAAGAAAACTTTTACGGTGTATTTCATAAACATTCCGTTTCTTGTTGACCTCTATTGTGTAATATGTAGCCTTATGTAGAAACAGTTTTTTTAAGTGGTTTACTCATAGTTTATTACTTTTTTTACTGGAGATAAATTTCATTATTCTTGTAACACTTTTTCTTGATTAAAACTATGCAATTTTTCAGACTTTCACCCGAACCATCACTCGCGATAGTGCCGTTTAATCCTGATCGCCTTAAAGGTTTACTTCCTCCTGATTCTTCAGATCAAACACCAAACGAAGAAAATTCGGACACTAAAGTATTACCAACTAGTCAAATGCTCGATTCTCCTACTATGTTCCCCACCTTTTCTCCTACATTTAATAACATTTCATGCATGGATATCGATTCAGATGTCAAAGGATAGAAAAAATATACTATAGTTTTTATTTTAGTAAGTTGAACTTTCATTAATTATTTCAGTTTAGGTTAGCGTCTCATGTGTTACTTGATTTTTTTATTGACGCCGTAGCTTAGAGTAGAGGGCATTTACCGATTCAAAACCCTAAAGGTTTATTCAATAACTATATTTAGTACTCTACTACATACCTCTTTAGCATTACTTTAGTGCTCCATCATGCCCAAATGGTACTTATAAAAAATTACATATAACATAAACGTGCGTTCTATCGAAGTTAACCAACTAGAAATATGTGGCTTAGATGCTTCCCGTAAAATTGATGGGAGTAAAAGGTAAAGCAGCGGCTGAAATGCCCAATATGTGAGCATTAGTACGTTTAGTTTTATAGAAGTTATGTAATAAAAAGTTAAGTATTACACCATTTACGACTGAACTGTCAGGCATCCTTTAAAGGTACAATGGCTGTTAAATAGCATGAAACATTAAGCTAAAGAATATAATTGTAATCTTGTGATTATTCAATACGTATCCCATCTCTGAAAGTTGTTGATATCTACGATTAAGTAGTGGTTACTGGTACACAAACCTATAGTTGGTGATGTTAGCTCATTAGTAAATTTGAACACGCGAGATAAAGCATTTTAAAATGGGAATATTGACTTCGTGTGGCGGTTCAATCGCCAGCATTCCTGTGACTCCACCCTAAATGTAGTGGTTTAGCCAGGAGTGGGGTCATCTGCTCCTTCCATAAACGCTTTCATATGGCCACGCGTATATATCCATCAGCTTTTCGTGGTGGGGTGTTTACGAAATCGAGAGGACTCTCGTGGGTACTAATATGTCAAGCCAATGTGTCATGTCCTAGCCTCTGGAAAAACTAATCAATATATTTTTTCGAGTCATTATCCACGTCGTTTGACCTTGTCTGTTGTTCGCTCATAACCTTGGTTATTTTTACTTGAGTATGTGCATGCATTGCTTACTTAGCTTAAAAGATGTTTAGCTTATTTTTGTCTGAATATAAATACTTAGTTATGCCTCGTCGTATTAAGTTGACCCACTTGCATTCTCCGCTCCACTTTCTCGCTTTTTATCCTCATGCGATCGTTCACTCATTGCGCTTCTAATGTTAGTGATTTGAGTACACGGAATGTTATATCTGGTGTCTTGAAGCCGCTCTCTAAATAACATGTAGCTTTTAATGTTCATACGTTGTGTCAGATAGGAAAGCAGACTTTCGTGGCTGTGAATGTACAATCACGCGTCATTGATGCATTCGAATACTGTCATTCGTTTGACGTCAACTTTTCAACATAAAGAACCGTCTGGATTTATGCCTCATGTATCTGGAGACTGAACTGTTACTTCCTGTTGCCTCGCTGGTGTGGGCATAGCATTGAGTTCAAAATCAAAACTAGCTCTCCTGGACTGGCTTCCGGTAGATAGTCACTTGTACAGTGTCCGACTAGACGAGAAAGTACGAACTCGGAAAGACAGGGACACTCGCCATTGCTTCTTCACAGTCTCTTCCACTGAGAGTAGAAGATATCCGTAGGTTACTGATTTTCGATCATCGGTGTCTTCGAAGCATTGCTCGTATACCGTGGGACAACCGAGTAAGCAATGCTGTCGTTAGGAAACGAGTACTTGGTAAGGATGGCAGATCAATCGATGAAGTGGTGAAACTTCATCAGTTGAGGTGGTTGGGACATGTCTTGCGTATGCCTAACCACCGACTGCCTTGAAGAGCTTTGTTTTGTAGTGCAGGAGTAGGTTGGAAGAGAGCTAGGGGCGGCCAGACCAAAACATGGCAGAAATCCATGAAGTCATTGACGAGTGGACGTAGCCATGTTGGTAATTGTCGACTACCTGGTTGGGGTCCGCGAGATGATAATAATCGATGGTTAGAGACCTTGAATGACATGGCTCGAAATCGTTCGCAATGGCGCCGGTGCATTTATTCTTTGTGTTCTCTCAAATCCTAATCTTCTGGATTCTTCAACCCCTCTACTTTTGACTTTCTAAACTTTGCTCACTAAATCATACTTCTTGAATAATATATTCTAATCCTAACCACTCCGATTACTTCTAATACCTTTACTACCTCTTCTACTATTGGATTTGAATTGACAATTATATCTCTGTGCTAATGTGGTATGGAAACATGAATTGATGTACTTACGTACGAAGTTGTACGTTGCATCTAACTGACTGACTGACTGACTGACTGCAGGTCGGATTTGGTAAAAGATGAGTTTTACAGAAAGCTTACCTACCTTCTCCAAAAGGTTGAGCGCTCTGATGTAGTAATAATGGCTGGTAACTTTAATGCCCAAGTAGTTAAACTAAGTGAAACTGAAGGATACGTGGATGGATCTTATGATGTCGCTGCTCCGAGAACAGATAACTCTGCAACCATACTCAGATAACTGCCTGTTTCTGGTGAATACGCACTTTAAGCATGAAGAAAAACACCTTTAGACACGGAGACCCCAAAGTCAACTCAACGCTGAGCCTAACTAGACCACATCTCCATCGGCCACCAATGAAGATGTTGGACGGAAAACTGCCGCTTATCCTGGATCACATGTTTAGATTCAGATCATGCTCTTGTACGAACGCTTGTCTGTCTGCGGCTTAATGGACACAAAGATATGCATTTTACAGTCCTAATTAATTATAAATAAACCAAGAGTATATTCCAGGATCAACTCGAAAAAAACAGTTCGACGACCGTGAACATGATGCCCACCTTAAGGTAGCTTGAAACGATATCCAGAAAGCTGTAGAAACAGTAGGGATATCAACCGGTAAGGTAGACTTAGAATATATCGATGACTACGTTTTTTTGGTGAAGACTGACAGAATTCAGAGTTTTTTGATCACCTTAAGTAACAATGCAAGCATGTTGGCGATGCGATTCTTCTCATCGATATGAAAAATGTTGCTTCAAGGTTGGCTTGCATCGGGACCTAAACTAGTGATAGAGAGTAAAATGAGCGAGCGTGTTGACCGCTTCCATTATCTTGGGAGTGTCTCATCATTGCTGGTAGTCTGATGTCTCATGAAGTCTCAGTAAGGATGCAGAGGGTTCGATTGAATCTTGCCAACTTGCGTCGTTTATAGTGTAAGCGATATATCCGTCTGCCAGCCAAAGGATGTGTGTACTGCGCAGCATTTCGCTCCGTCCTACCATACGGGTGGGAAACATGGTCGGTAAGCGTTGAGGATATTCGAAGGTTACTGGTTTTCGGTCATACGTGTCTTCGAAGCATTGCCCGAGTATCGTAGGACAACCGAGTAAGCAGTGCTGTCGTTAGTAAACGAGTACTAGGAAGGGATAGCAAACCAGTAGATGAAGTGATGAAACTTCATCAGTTGAGGTGGTTGGGGCGTGCGTTACGAATGTCCAACCCCCGACTGCGTTGACGAGCTTTGTTTTGTGGTGTAGGAACAGGTTGCAAGAAAGCTTGGAGCGGCCAGACAAAAACATGGCACAGATCCATGAAGTCACTGACAACTGGATTGAGTCATGTTGGTAAGTGTGGTCTACGTGGTTGGGGTCTCCGAGAGGATAGTGTAACCGATAGTTAGAGACCTTGAATGACATGGCACGAAACCATTTACGTTGGTGCATGTGCATCCATTCTTTGGCTTCTCACTAATCCCAATCTTCCGAATTCCTCATCATCTATATCTTTCTGTCTCCAAAGTTATCTCACTGAATGATACTTCTTGAATAATATCTTCGGACCTTAATCTTGTTTATTTCCGCTAATACTTCTACTACCTCTACTACTATGGGATTTGAATTGATAACTACGCCTCTGTGCTAATGTGATATGGCAACTTAAACTGATGTACGTATACACGAAGTTCTACGTAGTACCTGAATGACTGACTGTCAGTTTATCCTTTTAAATTTGCGGTAATGGTTGAACTAGTAAAGGAAATGTCAATTAAGTAATTATTGTGTTCAAGTTCGGCAGCAATGATAAGCCTTACTTCGATAATTGTTTGTTTTTCTGATCTCAACTGATCTTTTTACCCATTTGTTTTCTGTTTTTTTTTATGTCAGGCATACAAATCGGGTGTACAGTTACAGTGAATAATCTATGCATTTTCTGGTGTTACTATATTCATGAAGTGGACGTATAAAACATATGACACAACTTGCCTTCAATTATAGTCTTTATATTATTTGTTGCTTATAAACTTGTTAATATATTTTTTGCTATACTACTTTTTTGACACAGTGCACAAATATACTGTTGGTTCTTGTAATATTTATTTTTGTAATAATCATTGTATATGCACGCTACATATTCTTGATTACTTTCTGTTTAGAGAAAAATATAAACAAAATTTTGTTTATTTCTTCTGTGTTGGATATATGTGAACACTAATTCAATTTCAATTGTAAAATATTATTAAAACTAGTGATTCCAACCCAAATTATCCGTAACACTTTGAATTTTGCCAGATATTTGTTTGAATTACAATAAATCACACTTTTACTATAAAGAGATTTGTAAAATTTGTAACTGATTGATTGACTTTTGTGTATAGTTTAGAAATAGAAAACACTCAAACCTAGACAGGATTCATTCCTATATTATTTTTAGATGGAATAGCTTAAATCAATAACACTTTAAAAGTGTTGTGTATTTTAGTGTGAAATAAAATAAATTTCTTGATAATATTGAGTAAAACTTGAAAACATTTCAAGAGTTACTTGTAATTTTGTTCTAATTCAGTTTTTCTGTTCAACAAGCCTACTTATTTTCCACTGTACTTACAAAGTCTATTTATATTTCTTACTCTCAATTGATGAAAACAATCGAAATTGCAAATAAACATAGCGTGTCAAAATGATTGTGTACGTAGTAATTCTTTTCCACGCTCTATAATCCAAAAAAGTGTAGCATTGCCTCATCATTTTGAAATAAAAGCTAAAAACTAGATTTTAATTCTATTATTGAATTAATCACAGCGATACTCATAATCTTAGATCTCATAGATTTGAAAGTTTTTTGTTGGTGTTGATGCATCGTTTCTCCTAGATGACGTTTGTGCCTAATGGGACGACCGAGTAAGGGTTTAAGTACAGGGTATCACGTAAATATGGCAAGTCGGTTGACGAGGTTATTGGTGAAACTTTATCGCCTGAATTGGCTGGAACATGCTACGTATGTGAAATCGTCACCTACCTCAGTGGGTGAAGTCTGGTGTAGGTGTAGTTTTTAAGAAAGCTAGAGGCGATCAAACAAAGACCTGGGATTAGTTCATCGAGTTGTTGACTATTACACTGAGCCACATTAATATGTGTAGGGTACCTGGTTGCTGTAGAAAATGGCAAGGGGCTTCGTGTACAATTCTTGTTTATGGCTATTACTTATTGGTAGTTAAGGTTCATCTCCTTTTCCTGAACCTTATTGGTTGAGTTAATTATCAATAAATTGACTATATTCCTATTGGTTGGAACATATTTTTCATAGATAGCGATTATGATCCAATCATTTTTACGTTCGGTTGTTTTACGATTGACTATTATTGTTGTCGTTTTTTCACCTTCAGTGTAAACTTAAATGTAATTAAGTTACGATTTATTGTTGGACCACACTTAGATTATTTATAGACAATAAAAATAAATACTTCCGAGTAACCAAGATAGTCTTCTGACCTCGTTTGCAAAGTGGCAAGTTTAATAACTTCTTGTCTTGTTTTGGAATTTGAGTCCTGAGATCCTAAAACATATTGTTTTCATTTTCTCTACCTTATCTTTACTCTGACAGCTGACCTTCTTACCACTTATATTACCCTGCAATGTGCCTTGATAATTCCCTGTGCTATTATGATTAGTTAACTTGAAGCAGTGGACAAATAATCTTCAAAAATCCAATTGCAATACAAGCAGGTTATTGACCATCTGATTTTCAAGTGAAAATTTGAATTGTCTGTCATCGAAACACCCATGTTTCCTCTCCATCTTTGCCTGACATATCACTACCTTGTTTCAGTTATATATGTTAAATATTAAGCTGGTTATTTTGATTGTGAATATCAATAAAATCAAACTGCTATGATAAATACAATATCAGGCTTGAACTTGAAGATTTCAAATAAGTTGAGTATTGTGAAGAATGTTAATAATAAAATATATTTAATATCTAAATGATCAGAAATTTGAATTCCTGAGACTTCTAAAACGTCAGAAATTTAGATTTCTACATACTGGGATATCACAAATATATTATCCTACCAATAATCAGCAGTGAGATGGTGGAGAAAACTTGTAGCTCAGGTGGATGATTGTGGTGGTGTTTCGTTCTCTGAGCTCAGAGAACGTCTGAATTTAGATATGAACAATGGGCTTTCCCGCACATCTATTTTACCAGTCTCAAATATGACAAAATGCTTACAATAGATTCTACTATTAGTCACTATCAAAACATAACTCATAGGAAGTGGCTTACAAATTAGGTGTGCCATCATTTTATACCCTAAAATCAAAACTTTTCTGCCCAGAAATCACGTTGTTTACCTACTTACACCTGTTTCCCCTAATGGAGCATAGTTTGCTGACCAGATTTGTCCAACCCACTCTGTCCTAAACCTTCCTTTCGACTTCCACCCAACTGCTGTTCATTCTTTTCGTGTCTGCTCCATATTTTCGACGTAATGTATTTTTTGGTCTTCCTCTTTTCTTTAGGCCTTGAGGGTTCCAAGTTACGTCTTGCCTCGTGATGCGACTGAGTGCTTTCCTAAATGTTTGTCTTATCCACCTTCAGCGTTTTTTTCTTCAAAAAACGCGTAGTTTACATGATACAAATTATATAAATAAGGCATTGTAGTCTGTACACGTATTCGGATCAGAATCTATGTTCAAATTTTTGTGAATGATCTTTAAGTACAGTTAGTTTCTTTTTTCGTTTGATTGGTTTAACAAGAGGTTTACAGATAGATTTTTAAATTCGTCAAGAAACTTAGAAAGTAATTTTTTGAAGTTTCTTGTTTTATTAAACAATGTCATACGATATTTTTTCAAACAAATGTACACAGAATATTTACGATGATTGAAAGTGACATACATATGATATTGATGAAATACTTTGTGAATTTCAAACCAGTATAAGCTTAATTTGTTAAAATTGGCATAAAAAAAATAATTAATTTGTTCATGTGTACATGTAACTGCAACTTATGTGATTAGATTAATTGTCATAATAAAGTTTGATAAAAATTTTTGTCAGTGAGATTTTTTGGTTTGGCTTTTCATTGAATACCATTTTGAATTCTTGTTTATCTTACCATGTGATTAAAAAATAGTGAAGAACTTTTATTAACCAGACCAGTTTTGGGAATTGTTAGTAGAATCATTCTTCTACCGTAAGGTTGGCGACGAAAGTCTTAAAAGTAGGAATGATTAACATTGTTAACAATTTGTACACACAATCGATTAAATGGTATATAAGTGATTCAAAATCCGGATCTAGTCTAGATATAGATGTTACAGTATGAACCATAATTACTTCTACACATTACCGAATCTACATGATTGTTTAGGAAATATAAACGACATTTTACGGAAGAACACAGCTGCTTAATTTGTAAATATCATATTAATTGTTAACAGAGAACTATAACTCATGAATTAATAATTATAGGCTGTATTTATACGATCGATTTCAGTGTCACTTTCTTTAAAATTAAACAAGGGAATGAGAACTTAAGTCTAAACGAATATGAATAAAGTTTTATCTTTTTGAAGACTGAATGGGTAAATTCACAAGATACGAGTTATGGTATTTTTACTAAAATATTAAGTATTACACTATATTATAGGCTGATATTATATTTCATAAACATTCAAGCTTGATACATATTTTAAATCCGATAAACTATGTAGTTTGTAGTGAACGCCTCTACGAAGAAAATATGATTTGTGAAAAACATACATTATTGTATTCGTTTTTGGTTTAACTGTACCAAAAACACTTCTTGCGTGCAACGTTCTTTTCGTGTTGCTGCCATTTTTCCAAACGCGCTGCCGCCTATGTAATGCCTACTTTCTCCTTCAACAAAATATTAAGACATGGATTTATTTTGGTTTGAATGACCGGATGGTATGGAACATTTAGTGGTGATTATAGTCAATCTGGTATCTCTCACCACTAAAAGTTCCTCAAGTTGAAATCTATTACTTTATTTTTTACATGGCCTTTTTATCAACAACTGAATTCACCTTCAAGAACTAGACGATTTTCAGGATCTAGTTTGGCATTCCTCAGCAGTAGACATCTACAAACTCATTAAGAAGTGAACAAAAGACAATAACACTTGAAATAGTTGTGTATTTGTTGGACATAATATTACGAAAATTCACATTTCATTTTGCTTAAATCTAATAATTAAAACTTTTAAAAAGCTGAATGACCACTTATGTTCTATTCATTTTCAGAGAAACAATAATCATTTTAAATTAAACAATTCCAACATTCTTCTTCACGAAGCAAAGCACCAAAAGTCTGCTATTTGTATAACATGACTAATAAAAATAAAGCTTTGAATACATTTTCAGAAGTATTAATTTTTACACCAATTACAGGCATATTTATTAAAGATTAATACAAAGCTGTCAGTGAGCATCAAAATATGAAATGTAATCATAATGAACAACTTCGATTTCTGTCAGAGAATCGTTTTCTTTTTCATATCTTATTCGCCAATACTGCTTTATTATTCATGTTTAAACGAATAACATGGATCTATGTTATCCTATTAAAAAAAAGTTGAACGTTATTTCATAATTGTGAACTTATTTCTAGTAAGCAACCAAGTGATATTATGAGATATTCTGGAAATTTTCACATTACTTTCTTATACAAGATATATAAAGATGAAATTCTTAATACCTTAAAATATCAGCAGTTTCATACCGAGATCTGATGAATATTTTATGAACATGTATCCTAAGATAATTGATATCATTAATCAAATATGTATTGTATTGTATAATTTATGAAAATGTCATTCAAAAAATAAATGCTTATCAGACAAATAGAACAGTAATTTTGAACTTTAACATAGAGAGAACAATAAATATTGGAGAAATGGCTAGTAGGCTTTGTATAAACCATTGATCTATTGTTGAGGACGTTAGATCCCCAGAACTCGTTTGATCAATGCTTTAATTTTGGATTTTATGTTTCCGAGCATGAGTTGATCAGTTGACCTTGAGATCGCATTTCCCACCAGTAAAAACCTTTGGCTGTGTATTTTAGTGACTGTACGAAGGATGTTTCTATGATGTATAAAATAAACTCAGTTTGTGTGCTTGAATTCATTGTGTTTGCTGGGTGTTTGTAGAATATACTTTCTATGCTATAACAAGACTTTTGGTTAGTCATCGGATCAGGGTAGTCTACCTGGACGCTGGTTCATTGTCTCGTTCTCGTTTATCAACTAAGGCGAACCCGTAATAGTTTCAAGCATATCAGGTGACGAGTCTGACATCTATAATTTGTCCTTTTATTTGAGACTAGGCAATCACAAACTAATCATATTATAAACTAGAAGTTTTAAACGTTTTACAATGAAGTATTTAACAAATATTCATGAATAATTGCTTGAAGAAATATTATTGATAAGAAGTCAAAATGAGAACAACATGCACTTTTCAATCTATCTATATTGATAATAAAATGATGATCAGTTATCATTTTGATCATAATTACTGTTTAGAATTGCAATTAATCAATTATAGCCTACACAAAATGCAACAATGTACTACATTGCATAAGCAAAAAAATCACACTAATTCCACTAGCATAATCCGATTACGCTACAAACCGAAACGAGTAAAACAAAATTACTTGACATAAAATTATTTGAAAAACTTGATTGTATGTTTGATGACATGATTTTAATCATATACTATGTGCTTAATTTAAATTGATTCTCAAGATTATTGCACTGAAAATCAAGAATATCAGACGACAATAGCTGGCATGTGAAGACTTATGATCGAGCAAAAACATGTCTCTACTTTCATAGAAGAACTGCCCAGGTACCAAATTAGTATGAATATTAGCCAGAAACCAGCTAACAACCTAACATTTCGATTGCTTAGTTGGCAAACAACTATGAGGGTATATGATAACAGCTTATTCATGGAAGTTGTCTTAACTTTTTCTCGTATACCAGGCCAACTGAACACGATTTAGGCTAAGAAGTGTATGCTAGCTAACTTTGATATTTATCAAACGATAGACGCAGCAGAGAATTTAATCCAAAGTACTTTTTTCATGTCTCCATTATAATCGGATCGATAATCGAGGATAACCTGGTCGGGGTCCGTGAGATGATAATAATCGATGGTTGGAAACCCTTAGTGACATGGCTCAAAACCGTTTGCAATGGCGCAAGTGCTGTGTTTTACGAAATTTTAACCTCCTGAATTCCTCATCACCTTTATCTTTCTAAATTTACCTCATTGAATTATACTTCTTAAATAACATCTTCGAATCCTAATCTCTCCGATTACTTCTAATACTCTTACTATCTCTACTACTATGGGATTTGAAGTGACAATTATATCTCTGTGCTAATGTGGCATGGCAACTTGAACTGCTGTACTTACGTGCAAAGTTCTACGTCACCCTTGATGATGATGATGACGAGGATAACTCTACTGACATGGATATATCTTCCGTTTATTTCTTTTTCTAAGTATGTAAAACTAAAAGTAACCAGATATATATCATTCACTCATCAGAGTATCCTAATTTTTTTTAAGAAAAAATGATAATACCAATTATCAATGACGATTAATTAATTTACAGTGTATTTATATGAAAAATAAAATTCTGACCATAATTAAGATGAACTATCGTTCATGAAAAAAGATTATCGAAAGTGAGAAAAGACAAAAACCGAAAAATAAGAAAGAAAACCGAATAGTATATGGTTTTTCAAAACAGAAGAACTAATTGCTGTCATACATAGTATTGAAACAAAATTAGACAAATCAGTATATACTCGAACTAAGAGATCATTTCAAATTACAGGCAATAACAAGGGTTTATTCACCTGAATATGTATATATATTTGTATAATCGACTAGTTTATCAATAAAATAACAAAATAAATGGAAAATGCAGTAAAACATCAACGAAAATATTACAAACATTTACGCTAGTCGTGTACATAAATACACAATAAACAGAACCGTGGACAGTCATAAATCGACTATGATGAATAAATACGACGATCAAGTTCCTCTGAACCATTGGTACTAGGTAGTTCATTTAGCCATTCCGTATGTTCCAAGTGTGATCTAGGTTTAAATGTGATATCCAATTGATGCAAACACCGAATAGTTGTTACCACATCTAAACTGATATAATAATAAAAATCAGTATAGTGTTAGTACCATAAGATATATAGTAAGTAGTAAACTATAGCTTAATATAATCAACTCAACTACAGGATAGTAAATCTTAAGTACAAAATTAAATGATGGTGATGATGACGACATAGAGTAGTCACTGAAAACACCGTTTTATATTTAGATGAGAAATAAATTCCACAATTTCCACATTGTTGATAAGCTAGAGTGAAAGTTTGTGGAGTAGGAGATCAATCTTTGAAAGATTATACTACAAACAAGATGGTAGATAATCATTAGTCAAGAGTTAAGTAATCAGTTACTGGTGCACATTTTATACTTGTATGGCCCTTTATCTATTGCAAACATCGGGTATTTATGTAACGAGTGTTATACTGTAAGCTTAACTGACCAACGTGAAACAACACAGATGACGGTTGATAATTGATAATCCCATTATCAAGAAACATTCGAAATTTAGATAGTCCTCATAAAAATAAACATGTTCAATTTATCATATCACACAAGCATGAATCAAGGAAGAGCTTGTACGTAATCAAAAAACGAATGATATACATGTGAAGGCAATCATGAGATTATTCAATTTTTACCAATAACGATAACTGGGAGGGCTTTTGTTCCAATCGAATTTTTTTTAGACTTTTCCAATTAGTTGTTATCGCGAAGATCAGTCCACTAGTTTTCTGCGTACTTCAAGGTTATGCTTTTGTTACTACACATATATATTGAGTTGCTCTAACGAGTTGAATAGAACGTTTTCTTGCCCTACATTTCAACTTTTACACGTATTAATGGATGATTTTGTCGGTGTTCGGTGTCAAACATACAAAATATTTAAATACAGATTCAATCTCATTTGTATTAGAAAATTCTCAATTGCTGATAAGAATAAAATTCACTGTAGATCATCAACCGGAAACCCTGTTTACGTTTGCTATTTTTTTCGTCAATCACGATATAAGAGGATAAAATGAAGCTTTTACACTTAAGAAACTTCAGCTGATGAACACATGAATACTTGACTGCACGATAATGATGCAAAGTATTTTATATGAGTAAAATGAAGATGAGTAAATAAAACAATAAGTACTACTGAAAATTTTTAACTGATAAAAAAAATCGTTATATAATCTGTATAATAGGCAAAAAGTTACACAACAATGTTATTCCATAATCAGTCAGTCAGTCAGATGCAACGTAGAACTTCGTACGTACGTAGAACTTCGTACGTAAGTACATCAGTTCATGTTGCCATACCACATCAGCACACAGATATAATTGTCAATTCAAATCTCACAATAGTAGAAGAGGTAGTAAAAGTATCAGAAGTAATCAGAAAGATAAGGATTAGAAGATATTATTCAAGAAGTATGATTCAGTGAGAAAAGTTTAGAAAGTCAAAACTAGAGGTGTTGAAGAATCCAGAAGATTAGGATTTGAGAGAACACAAAGAATAAATGCATTCCATAATAAGTCCGGTGAAAAAATGCTCTAAAACATAACTAATTAATAATAATAATAATAATAATACGTTTTTACAAAAAAAAATACAATTAAAATAATTTACCGTGCTAGGTGGAGGAAAACGATCATCGGGAAAGAGTTCAGTGAATGAACGTGGTTCATTTTTTGGACGTGACATGACATAATTACGAACAGCATATTCTAAACGATTCATAAATTCTGGTCCTGGTGTTCCTAGTTCTTCTGTAATTTTAGTCCATTGATCAATATGATCATAACCGGGGAATAGAATTCTTTCTAGTACCATTTCAGCAAATATACAACCAACTGACCAAATGTCTACATTTTCAGAATAACCCATGCCTAAAATCACTTCTGGTGCACGATAATAACTATTGAAAAATTGAATAAGTAAATAAATACGTGTGTGTGTAGAGAAATTATTTTTAATCAATCATATTTTTTTTCTAAATTACTAAAAATTTGTGTATTCAGTAAAAATACATATATATTTATATCGAATTTACAATAAGTACACAAATAGTGAAACTGTAAAATGCATTGAATAAAACGCTGTTCATAAATTATATGATAGTCAAGTTAATTAACAAATATTTATCTAGTGTTTTATGTTTAATGAGATGAAAGAGTTAAATTTTTATAACTTTCTCATTGATATCCTAAAAAGTAAATCAATTGTTAAAGATATTTTTTTCAATAAACACTATCATGCTTTATCATTATTAATAACTTTGAAAAGTAGCTTTAATAGCTAAGTTATAAGTTCATTGTACAGATGATACTGTAATAAGCTTAGTATAATCCCCAAAATGCCCTAGTACGGTCGACAGAGGGGAGAGTTCGTCCTCCCTCTCCAAATGCTCTCGTATGACCACGTGTATATTACATCCACTGCCATGGAAGTCCTACTACTCACTGCCTTCTCGTGGCACGGATGTAGCTTACGAAATTGGAATATCTGGTGCTTAAACCAGGTTAGTGGGTACAGTGAACCCGCCCAGGAGGACCCTGATTTCGATGGCTACCATGGGAAAGGCATCTTTTGACGTTCAACGTTCGTCGAGTGAACCCCTGAGGAAATCATCTGCTTTGATCTGGTTACCCCGGGCAGTATTCCAGCCCACTCATAAATTCACTAATTTGTACCAATGTTTATGTGTTTAAATAAATTTAAATAAATAAATAAGCTTATTAAGGTATACTGAAATCTCAGTGGTTCATAAGCATCCAGCTGACGAGCCCCGAACGGGACGAAATGTTTATCCAGAATTATACTACTGACAACTATCCATCCCTGATTTTGATGCGTGTCAACTAATAGCTATACCGAAACAGTCTACACAAGATGAACATGTCTGAATTATGTTCTAAGATTTGACTATTGTTACCAAACAATAAAAACTATAACCTTGAAATTTTAACAGAAATCTTGGAGGGGAATATGATGTGGTTATCAGTAAGAGTTCAATTTGATATGTGCATGAGGCAGGCGATGAACATTAACTACTGAGGAGTGTACTCACTGTGAAAATACAGAAAGAGGTTTAAAGTGTTAGTTCTTCAAGACTTTAGGTTCACAACAGCTTGTAAACTGAAAGAGCTTACGCAATAATGACTTTGCTCAACTTTCATTCGGAATATGAAAACAAGAATGAGAAGGCTGGTTGGTAAATGAAGTGACTTGTTATAACTATGAACAGTACATTATTAGTATACATATTGGTTAACACAGTAAATCCTTTTAATGTAGACAGTGAAGTTTTGAAGGTTTTCAACCACACATGGAACAGTTTGAAGATTGAGGAAGCTAATACTCTAGTGAATTACACTAGCTCCACTCAGTGACTAACCTAAAAATGTTGATACGGGACTGTCGAAACGATAAAAATTTAATTTCAGAATTTCAAGAAATCAATCATCGAAATTAGCTAATAATGAAAACACTGAAAAATGTTAAGTATTAAATACAATGAAACAACATAATCTGAATGTGCATACCGAGTTACCACATATGGAGTCATTAAAAAGCTATCTCCAGCTGTACGAGCTAAACCGAAATCCAAAATTTTCAAACTACAATCATGTTTCACAACAATATTACTGGGTTTTAAATCTCGATGAATTATGCCAGCTGCATGTAAGTGTTTTACACCACATAAAACTTGATACAATAGATATGAGGTTCTTTCATGATCTAAATCAAGGTTGATCACCTAAAAAATAAGTGAGTATGTGTTACATCTCCATATTATACAATCATGTATATATATTTCATCTATTAGATAATGATTTTAGAATATATACAACTTTATGCCGTTGAGGAAGGATGGCTTTTTTCAATTTAAAGATTATGAACAAAACACTTAATTCGTAGAACTATTCAAATAATTAACAGTACAAATCAAAATTACAACGGACATTTTAAAAATTGTTTGTATATGTATTAATTGTCAGTATAATGGTGCTGGCATTTACCTTGCGCTTACATATTTACGAAAAGTCATACTGTATCTTAGCAACTCCGCTTGTAGACCCTCAGGGGCCACGGCCAGTCTCAACCCTGGAATCGATGTACGCGCGTAAGAAGTTCTATGTTGTTGTTGTTGTTGACTGACTGACTGTATCTTAGCTTAGAATCACTTTTCAGTAATAATATCAGTTAGACATACATCCTAGATTTTTAAATCTACCCGATTAATCGACTGAGTTTACTGCAGAATTAGTATAAATTTCTTAACTCACATTCAAGATGGAAAAATGACAGATTTAAATCACATTAGTCCATGTGTATTTATTGTTTATATATATGCTGTACGCTACTCGTACGGACATATAAATGGTACATAACGGGAATAGGCAGTAGAGTTCTTATTGGCAGAAGAGTGAAATGAGCACAACAGAACGGAAAATAAAGAGGGATCAGAGTAACAACATGAGTGAATTAACGGTGGAGACTATAAAGATCAACTCAAAGACGTGCAAACAGTACATTTAGTGAACTGTTTTCATATTTTACAAATGTAGTGAAGATCAATGTCAGATAAGGTTGCTTACTAACACCTTTTCTCTTTCTCCTGGTGATCGTCCAGTTTGTGAAGACGTCAACATTTGGAGGGAAGCACGGTATTCAGTGGACAGCTAGGATGCAGATGGATGATCTGGACTTCGCAGATGACCTGGATCTTCTATTTCACACGCAACAACAAATGCAAGAGAAGACGGCCAGTGTAGCAGCAGCCTCTGCAGCAGTAGGTCTCAACGTACAAAAAGGAAAAAGCGAAATTCTCCGATGCAACACAACATGCACCAACCAAATCACTCTTGATCGAGATGCCTTGGAGGACGTTAACGCCTTTACATATCTTGGCAGCATCATCGACAACCAAGGTGGATTCGATGCAGATGTGAGGGCACGGATTGGCAAAGCGAGGGCTGCATTTCTACAATTGAAAAATATCTGGAACTCCAAACAAATATCAATCAACACCAAAATCAGGATTTTCAATACAAATGTCAAGACAGTTCTACTGTATGGAGCGGAAACATGGAGAACTACCAAAGCCATCATCCAGAAGATACAAGTGTTTATTAACAGCTGTCTACGCAAAATACTTCGGATTCGTTGGCCAGACACCATCAGCAACAACCTACTGTGGGAGAGAACAAACCAGATTCCAGTGGAGGAGGAAATCAGGAAGAAGCGGTGGAAGTGGATAGAGCACACATTACGAAAAGCACCTACCTGCGTCACAAGACAAGCCCTCACATGGAACACTAAGGGCAAAAGGAAAAGAGGAAGGCCAAGGAACACATTACGCCGAGAAATAGAGAAAGACATGAGAAAAATGAACAAAAATTGGACAGAACTGTAAAGAGAAGCCCAGAGAAGAGTTGGTTGGAGAAAACTGGTGGGCGGCCTATGCTCCTCCATTGGGGTTAACAGGCGTAAGTAAGTAAGTAAGTAAGTGTATAATTTTTCATAATACAATTTCTTCCATGCTTGCACACGTCTTCGTCTTCTCAACAGATACACTTTTTGTGATTATTTTCATGCCTTCTTTGAATAAACTGTTATAAAGTCCATTTGTATTGGGTTATACATTCACTCTACCTACCCTGTTATCTTTAAAAACTATGCTGCACACTACATCAATCGACTAAAGTCAAATATCTTATACATCTATGAAATCACATTGAAAATCTACCGGTATTGATGTATAGAATGAAAAATTTAATTACCTGACATAAATTAGCATCCATAAACTCCATTACCAAGTAAACATCTTGAAAATCTTGCAATGTTTGTTGAGGAGTAAATGCATTTAATAATGATATAATCTAATACAAGGTGATAAACAGAAAAAAACAAAAATAATTTGCGGGATGATCGAAGACTATAATTATATAATAGTCAATGTAATTAGTGTACTGTTTGTATTATTAAAATCCAGACACTTTACACTCGATAATGTCAATGAATGAAAACGTAATGGGTGTATAGTAGGTGAAGTTGGTTATTATTTATTAAGATAGTATATCATTTTGTCAGTGAAGTTTCGTACTCGGATAAATTAACAAATAAGCATTACATTTGTAGATAAAATGAATAAGGAGTCAGTCATATGTAACGTGGAGATAAGAGAAATATTAGGAGGTGTAGGAAGGATTTGATTATGACCGATTTGGTCTCGTGTGCTGTTACGGGTATGAGGGCGGTTGTCACTTCCCGGCTGCCCACACTGTGAAAGGTTGTTTCTTGAGGAACCTGAAAAGGAAGGTAGATTAGTTTTGATCCTAACGACCTGGGAGCGTGACCGCAGAGCCCAAGGGACAACTGCTTGAGGCCGGTCACGCACGGCCTTTTTATGAGAAGTTTTTTGAGTGTTAGCTCCGCTCTTGAAAGCCCTTAGTGGGTACCCTTACCGCCGGAGACGGAAATCCATGAGGTAGGATGAGGTGTGACATTTTTAGGGTCGACCTTTTCTAACCCTTCCTTCCTTGTGAGAAGGCAGCATCGCTGCAGATGCTGATTGTCCGAGGGAAACACCTTACTGCTGTCGCATCCCTCTGAAGTCAGCAGTACGACTTCACTCTCAGACCTTTCATATGCAACTTAGAACCTGACACAATAACTTCTGTTCAAATTCACGCAACACATTAAAATAGTGAAATACAGCTATTTCAAGACAAAACTCAGAATAACAGAAAAAAAATGGGAAAATAGAAATGAAGAAAATTATATGGAGATTTTAGGACTCAGGTTCCAGAAGAACACAAGAAGTGAATGCACTAACGCCATTAGGAACAATTCCTAGTTGTGTCACATAAAGTCTATAACCAGTGGTTATCATGAACGACTCGACTCAACACTTGTACTCGATAAATGAGTTACATCAATATCGTTGATCTGTTGATCTCAAGTGTATCCAGAAAAATAAGTCTTATTCATACTTTGGTGAAATACATAAAATCAGTTGCGTGAATGATAATATTTTACGCTACTGAATTTTTACTTAAAAATAATGAATCTTTAAGTTAGCCAATATAACACTGAGTCTAGTAGCTGAGTAGATAACGTATCGATGTTTGAAACGAAAAGTAATCAGTTCAAGTACAGGTGTAACCATCAACTCTCGGATGAAAGTACAACAAACTGACGAGTCCTAGGTAAAACGAAACGAGCATCCAAATGTTAACGTCATTCCATCTGTTCTATATGAGCTTGTACAGTTAGGTTGAAATTTTTTTCATTCAATAAAGAATCGTTCATGTAACCTGATGTTTGGTGAGGTTTACACACCAGATCTAAAATCAACTTATCATCATTTAGTATTAGCTCTGAACTACAGGAAAGTTCAAATTAGTTAGACAAAATGATAAGAAATTCTACAAAAGAAAAAAACAGAGACAAAGTATACATGATAATGCTACCACTGAAAAAAGAAACAAATTACTAACATTTTTGTGATTCACCAATTTCATTAAAACAAATTCACGATAGGCACGTTTGGCGTGTGTAACATTTTGAAATGGACGAGCCAATTTTTTAATTGCAACATCTTGTTTAAGTACTGAATCATAGGCTGCTCTGTAAGAGGAAGTAAACAGAAAATCATTTCGATAAAACTAAAACGTAATGTAACTCTTATTTACCAAGTACATACATACCACAGATTTCCAAACTGTTTGAGTTACTAAGCTTCCCGGTGTCACTAATTGTTGTCTGTCAAACATTAGTTCTTGCAGCTATCAAACAAACAGACATAATCAGCATTCAGTGTCACACATATGTATTTGCACAAGTTATCATATTACATTGGTATGATGAGATGAAAATGAAAAGATGAACAGTAAAATAGAGAAAAATGTAACACTGATAATTATGACTAAACACTTAGAATATGAATCGAAAACAGAAAGTGGAAAGATATGCACAAAGGAATACTAGAATTCAAGATTGAGAGGAGGGTGAAGAGTGAGTGAATTCACGCCACTGTGAAAGATTCTCAGTCATCTCACTCAAAATTTATAATCATTAGTTACGATAATCACGTAAACATCAATCAAGCAGCCTTTATCCGCCAACATAGCTAAGACTAGTCATCAACGGCTTCGTGGACTGGTGTAATGTTTTGGTTGTGCCAACCCTGGCCTTTCTAATTAATTCCTACACCAAGAGGTAGGCAGCGGATAGGTATACGTAACACATTTTCTGATCACCTAGATCAATGAAGACTGGCAACCCCCGCCTCCAAATTTTCTAGTTCGATATTACTAACCCTAACACTTTTCATACAGTTGTCTAATGATATGCCAGCAATACTACAGAGAAATTTATTATTAAAATCATGTGGCGAACACACATCTATTTTTATATTTCATGTTTCCCACCTGAAAAGTAATACAGAGAGAACTGGTAAGCGGTATAAAAGCTTTTTATTTGGGATATAGAGATCCTAACTACACCACAATCGGTCATACATATCATAGAGCTTGACACATGTCAGGTCAAAGCTTACACTTAAATGTCATCCGGATAAGTTATATGGATTCCATCATAGCTGCCTGTTTTATACTCATTCGATTTCGTCGCACATAAGTTTCTAGATGCTTCTCGTCTAACTTTGCATGGATTGGTTTCCTATCCAAAAGTTGCTTATCAGCTTAAGGTACACAAACAGGATAGTTGTTTGATGAAGTGAGTGATAAACTTCAGACATCAAATTTTAGTCAAATGATGAACCAGAGTGAAACAAGCATTTTTCATAAAACACCACTAAAATCGACTCAACTAGACCAGATAGCTATCAGCCACAGATAGAAATACTCGATAGAAGAAAAACAGTTAGGCAGCCATGTAAGTGATGCACATCACGAGGCAGCTTGGATCAATATCCAAAAAGCTGTGGAAACAGCAGTGATATCTGCCTGTAGGGAAAGTCGCAAAGTTGGAGAGATGCAGTGGTCTTAGTAGCATCTCAACTGATAAATGCAAGAAAACTTAACTCTTCTGGCTCTGAAAACGATGAGGAACGGAGGTAGCTTAAGCACAGGCTGATGAAAAGCCTACGCAATGATCGTGAACAGTGGTGGGTAGCGAAAGAAAAAGAGATGGAAAAGACAGTAGCAATAGGTAACTGTAGACAATTACTCTGACTTATCAAAGAGACCGGTTTTAGAAATTCGAATGTTAGTGAGACTCTCTCAGAAAAGTTTGAAATTTTTATTCACTCTCGATCCAGGAGATTGGATCAAGGGAGCAGAACACTTCAGGGATCAGTTCAACTGGCCTTTAGCTACACTTCAGTTACCCACGATCTCCAGTCAACCTGAATGGTGAATTGATTTGAGTCCTCCAACTCTTGATGAAGTTAAAAAAGTAGACTAGAGAAGACCAAGGTGGTTTCAGACCTGGAAATGAATGTAAAGACCATATATTCTCGCACTAAGTCAGGTTTTAGAACGTAGGTGTCTTTTCCGACGTCCCACATTAGTTGCATTTTTCAACCTTAAGGCTAGTGTTAGGGAAACGGTACTAGGTAAGGACGGCAGATAGATTGATAAAGTGGTGAAGCTTCGTCATTTGAGATGGTTGGGACTTGTGTTACGTGTGCCTAACCGCCGACTGCATTGACGAGTGATATTGATGCAAGAGCGGGCTGGAAGAAGGTTATGAGCGGTCAAACAAAAACATGGTACATGTCTCTGAAGACACGGATTGTTCGACTGAGTCATGTTGGTAGGTGTAGACTACCTGGTTGGGGCCTGCGAGGCAACAGTGACCGATGGTTACAGACTTTGAACGACACTGTTCGAAATTGTTTGCAGTGAAGCAAGTGCATTTTCTCTTTGGCTTCGCTCAAATTCTAATCTTCCAAATTTCACACGTCCTTTCTTCTCCTTTTAAATTTAGTTTACTGGGATATACTTCTCCAATCACATCTTCGACCCATAATCTTACTGATTACTGCCAATACTTATACAGCCTCTAGCACTAAGGGATTTCAGTTGACAGTTTCATCACTTCATGCTAATGTGATTTGTTTACTTGAACTGATGTGCGTACTGACCAAATTCTACGTTGCCGCTGACTAACTAATGTGAAACGCATTACAGAAATTAGCTTAGTCATTCAAAAAAGCCATACCAATAAGACAAAACCGTGTTCAAAATCTGAGCACTAAGAAAAACTAGGTCTTTTAAACTACAATTAAATTTTCGGTCATTTATGAACATAGCACACAGCAAAGTACTGTAGAGCAAGAGATGATTATCAAGGTCTTATTTACCGAGACAGCCTTAAATAATTGACTCTGTGAATAATGACACAAACATATAAAAACAATAAAGATAAATTAATAAGGGTTTCTGCCCACCTGATGCAGAAATTACAGCAAGAACTTACTTTGGAGAGATGGATACACAAAATCAGTAGGGCAGATAACGGGAAGCTAAAACGTAGTCACTTAGAAGGGCTACAAAGAGAGTTGTCAGTCTGATTTTTGTTTCAGCTCGATACAAAAAAAGTATACTTGTCATAAAATACTAGTCACATCTCTGACCGAGAGGACATCATAAACGGCAATTTTGTTAGGAGTATGCAAAATAACTGAGTTCTTAAAACAGCACAATTCAGGTCGTGGCCATTGATTCGTTTTAAAGTCAGATTTTGCGATCTTATTTTTTCAATGTTTTTTTATCGAATTACGGAAATGTTATTAGTATCAAGATCTAGATTTTCAGCCACATCTCCGAGACCGTGAAAAGTTACTGTTAATTTAGCCTGTGCTGTAAATTTAAGAAAATTGCAGGACCGTCTAAGCCAAATGATTACACACTATATAATGCTACGACAGTGAAATTCGTTATACGGTTAACTCACACAACGAAGCCCTGAGCTCCAGAACCGATTGGCTTCAAGTTAGAGTACCTAAAAGGCACTACAAATCTAGCATCTCCCACAACTTCAACATGATACCCAGGCGGAATGTTGCTCGTCATTCTCTGGTTTATGTACATAGTCGCCAAAATTAAGGTAGCCACTGGCTCTACATTGAGAGGACACAATAAAGGAGGGACATTATAGGCGGCGCCACCACTATAGTGACCTTCGTCGTCCAATATCCAATATCTTTTTCACAAGCTAGTATGAACCAATTGATTTTTTTGAGCCCGATTCGTGTTCTTTCGGTACAGCTCTAGCCACTCTACCGTCTAATTTTAGTCGGAAGTCGGTTATGAGTTTGTATGTCTCGGGATTTGGATGAAACGTTTGTTTCAGGGCAGTAGGGTTTCTGGATACTAGCAGTCGTCACATTACCAAACCAGAGATCAGTTAGTTGCAATGCGGAGAATAATAAAGATAAGAGTCTAATTCTAACATGAATACAATTTCAGAACTAAGTAATAAATAGATGATTTAGTTTATTAAATGGTACTGAACATTTTGAGACGGAATCGAAGTGCAAGCAAGGGAGAGGAAATAGAAATAATAGGCGAGACAGATTAAGTAATTGATCTGAGAAGATGGCAATGATAACAACTAGTAGGTCTCAAGATGTGCATCATGAACAGCTTGTCCAAGAGGTAGATGATAATCCGTATGTGAGTACGTGATTATCAAGTCTCTTCTTAAAACAATCCGCTGAGGGGGCTGTGGTTACCTCGGCTAGGAGAGCATTCCAAGTTGCGATGACTCGCAGTGAGAAAAAGTGTGCACGAATCTGAGTATTCGCTATTCGATGTGCAATCTTTCGAGGATTGTCTCGAGGGAAGTGGTGGTGATGAATCGGTGAGATGCTCACATTGGGATGGTTTGGCGTGTTTAATATGGTGTACGCCACAGTCAGATCACCTCAGATTCTCCTGTAGCTCAGTGGAAATAATCCCAAGTGCTGGAGTCTATCGTCGTAGGGTTTATTTTTCAACCCTATCACCCATTTGGTTGCTCGTCTCTGCACTCGATCCAAGAGATTTATGTCTCTTCTAAGCAGAGTGGGTGCGACGACATTATCAACCCCTAGGTAGGGGCGCGCGTACGTCTTAAAGAGGGTTAAAAATAATTTCGGGGTGATAGCACCAAGCTGTCTTTGCATAAAGTGAAGAGTCGCATTTGCCTTGGCTGCGTCCCCTACATAGTTTGGACTGGTGTGGAGGCTTTCTGTGGTTATCAAACCAAGATCGCGCTCTGAGGAGACATTAGGGAGCGGACTTCTGTTGAGGGTAAGGTCCGTGTTGAGCTTCATGGAGTATTTTATTCTTATCCATGTACTCCCTCATTGTTCGTCCACTAGTCCTTCCATAACCTTTGATAATATAGGTAGTAGTGCGAATGGTCTGTAACAGGCTGGGTCCTTTCTATCTCCTCCTTTGAAGATTGGAGAGAAAGTAGCTTGTTTCCATTGAGCAGGGAATTAGTGTGACTCGAGTGAATGCCTGAACAGGTTTCATAACGGTGAACAGAGGACTTCAACACACTGTTGCAAGACTATAGGGCGGATTTTGTCACAACCTGGTGACTTACCTAGGCGTAAGGATTTTAGTTTCCTTAATACTAGGTCAGGAGAGATACGGATGTTCCCTAAGCCGTCAGCTGGCATTGGGTTGGCGTAATACTCTGAACATGTAGGCGCCTGGTTTAATTGATCGGAGAAATGAGTGTTGAAGATCTCGGCCATCTCTAGGTTGGTGAGGTCTTCCCCGTTTGGTCCTTTTAGAGAACACAACCCTTGATTAGTAGTTTTGCTTTTGGACATGGACCTAAACAGATGTTTCGGGTTTGCCTCTATTCTGGCGATTATCTTCGTCTGGAATTGTCTCCTGTCACTACAGTTTGGTGTTCCTTATCGCTTCGGAAGAGTGTCATGCCTGGTAAGCAATATCAGGGGATGGCCATGTTTCAGTTAGGATTGTGATCTTCAGATCCTTTTGAGAGCCTATATTCCTAATTTCTAACAGCTTACCCCTTAGTCCTCTTACGTAGCTATAGAGGCACTTGGTGGTTTGTCTCAACACCTGGTGCACTTCTGCAGCAGCAGCCGTTGTCGGACTTTCAAACAGTTATTCAAACCGAATCGGCCAGTTCTGTGGGAACTGGAATCTGCAGGTTTTTGGCTGCGTGGTAGGTTCGATCACGTTGTAGAATTCTTTTTGAATGTTTTGTGTTTTGGAAAATCCCTCCATGTTTACATATTTTTGCTATGACATGATGGACTTTTTCTCTTGACATTTTTGGTATTTTATTTGATTCCAATTTGAGATTTATCATTGTATATTGTTATTCTTTCTATATTTTGTACTTATATTGAAGTTTTTGGGTTTGCTTCTGAATCGTACATATATTGTTTAAATTTGATATAATATGGCTACCGCCACATTTTTGGACGGACGCGGTGGCTGCTGGACTTAGTGTCACTTACTAGTTATTGTGTTGGATACTCTGCGGAGTAATTTAACCCTGGAAGAAACACAAATTCCGTAAGACTTTGTATTTCCATTTTATAATAATATAGAGACGTTTTCTCCTAGAATTTTGCCCTTTTTGATTTGGTCGGGACCCGGAACTAGGAGGAACGTACAGGAGTGTTTCTATTGGAAACAATTAGGACAGCCACTGTCGAAAGAAAACTACAGTCTGGAATTTGTTCTTTCGTGGATTATACTTTGGAAATATTCATCAGAACATATATATTTTGGAACTATTCGGATTATTAAGAATTATAAAGAAACATTTGGAATTTTAATCGTTTATCATACTAGACTTCCTTGGAGGAAGAAGTTGGAACTACTTATCATATTTTTGAACTGAACCGTGGAATTACTATTTTGTATTGTTACCTTTTCTACTGAACTTTATTTATGATGTCAAACCGAAAAAAATGAGGAGGGTGGAAGAGCTCGACGGATCACAGGGCTCTAGGCAAGTCGTTAATGATAACTTTTTTATGGGTAACCCACATGCTATGTCTGATATTTATTATTGTAAGTCATCGATAGAGGGTTTAGAACTACCTAAGGTTGAACTCTCATTTTTTGATGGAAGGTCTCGCGACTATTTTAAGTTCATACGACAAATAGAGACGTTTATAGAACCTCGAATAAAGGATGATCAAGTGCGTTTATTGTATTTAATTCATTATTGTAAGGGAAAAGCAAAAAATGCGATTGAAGGCTGTATTATTATGGATCCACAATCAGGATATAAGAGAGCTAAGGCCATTCTAAAACAGCTCTTTGGACAGTCGCATGTAATAGCGCGAGAAACCTTAGAGGACTTATTTAGAACCGGGAATGTAGAATTTAATGATCCTGAATCATTGACGAACTTGGCTATTAAAATGCAGAATGCTGCTTTAACTTTAGAACAGTTAAATTGTACAGCTGAACTTAACTCTATGGCTACTTTAGAACGAATAGTAAGGCTCTTACCTCGTCGAATGCAAGCCCAGTGGGCAGAGCTAGTATTCAAGTGGGACGAAGAGGAGAGAGAGCCCAATTTTAACGAATTGACGGAATTTATTATGTCTCGTGCTAAGATAGCTAGTAGTAGGTTTGGAAGATTAGCTTATCAGGCTAAAACAGGAAATAATACGGAAGCTACTAGTGGTCTGCGTGCGAGACATTCGGATTCTTCGTTTCTACCTAAAGCACGCTCGGAAGATAAGAGATTTGTCAATTATATCACGAAAGCATACGCTGATGAAGGACGAGTATGTGACCGTAACGATGGAAAGCCTCTTGATGCGTGTCCTAGCAAGAAGCCGGTTGGTGTAACAGATAAGATGGCTTTTCTAAGTGTAGAAAAGAAAGAAAAAGGCGAAAAGTGTAGGCATCAAGATGGATCCGAAGTGTGTGATGATAAAAGCCTCTTAGCTGCTCGAAAAGCCTGGAACGGTAATTTGGATTCGAGTAATCAGAGGTTAATGAGTTCCGCAAATATGAATAAGACCCAGGCAGGATTGTCTGAACGGAATAAAGCTTATTTTCGGAACCCTTCTGTTAGGGTAAATTATATAACTGGACCTAGAGTAGATTCTAGGATAAGTGATGGTGGTACAGTAACGGCTAAGAAGCCTAGGAGACATGATGCTACTATTACTAAGAAGCCTAAACCTCATGCTCTTTCGGATGCTACGACTAGCCATGGAAATAGTAGCCATCAGAACCTTAGTAGTGACAGTGATAATAAGGAGATAGAAAGTGTCAGCAGTTCACTTATAGGGACTAGTTTATCAACTTCATCGAATGAGCCTCCTAGTGTTTCGACGCCATCGGACCTCGTCACGAAGGTTAAGTTGATTGAAGATGCACAAGGTTGTTCAGCTGTAACTGTTCCTATTACGGTTGACTGTCAGTCGAGTGATGATGAGAAGAAAGTGTTTGATGGTAACAGCCAGTCTACAGTGCTGTGTGATGACGATGCTATTGTTGAGCATATGTCTTGTGCCGCGGAAACGGATGCTAATGCAGAACGGAATCATTTAGACGTTGATAATAAACTGGATGTCACTGATGTGACAAATGAGTTACCGACGATGATGAATACTGTTCAAACCTCCTCTGCATCAGGAGATGGAAGGATAAATATTGATCCTACGTCATGCTACTTAAGGTCTTCTGGAGACGATGAAATGTCAAAATTGGAGATCCCACCCTTGCATATTATTTATGGGTCAAAAACTTCTGTTGATAAGTTAGCATCACGGACTTCATGGTATCTGCTGATCGGAGCAAGTGGTGGTGGATTGGCGACTCGTCCCCATGATAGAGAATGTAGTCTTCGGATAGGATATGACCAGTTTTACGATGTGTTGTTCATGTTCGTATGGGTTAATTGGGTAAGGTTTATACTACCGTTAGGTCATTCCACGATAGATAGGGGAATCAAGGGCCTGATGGGAAAGTATAGGTACCTAGTTAACACGATAGGTCATATCCATGTTGGATGGCGGGTAGGCGTACTGCTGTAAGTCCTACACGTTATTCCGGTGTGGATTAGGGGATAACATGGGAACCCTAAATAAAGTGTCATTAACGCTTGCTGTTTTTGCATGGAGGGATTTTGCGGGCCGGTGTAGAATTCTTTTTGAATGTTTTGTG